AGGGCGACTGCAGGCCGGTGGTGGCATCGGTGCTAGTGGCTCCAGCCTGTGTCAGGCCGAATGGGTCGATGCCTCGCGGGGAGGATCCACGGACACCGGACGACGGGGTGGCACCGCCGGTTTGGCTATCTGGGCGTGAGTTATCATCGGAGAAGGCACCGGGCGGGAAGAAGGCTGGGCTTTCGTTGCCGTATAGGGCGCGGTGCTGGCGGGCGAGGAGTTCGCGACGGCTGTCCTCGCTCACGGCAGCTGGGCTGGTGGAGCGGTCGGATTTGGATGCAGACATCTCGGCGAGGAGGCCTTGAAAGGAAGAAGAAAAGTATTAAAACCCCGTGTTCAAAGAAAAACGAAGAAGCCAAACCAAATATATTACACAGGCCGATGGATACATAGATGCAAGGAAGTGAAAAGAAAAAGAAGAAAAAAAAGCCGACGGGGGAATATAACGAGGCTCAAAAAGAAGAAGACAGAACGCTACCACGTACTTCGGTTGTACTGTTGCTCCTGGTGATAGTTGCGGAGTTCCCTCTCACGCTGTGCTGCCATCCGACGCTTCGCCTGCATCATCTGTTCCACCTCGTTGGGACGACCCTGGTACCGCTGGGAGGCATAGAAACCCTGGGCATTGCCAGACGGGGGCATGCGGTTGCCATCGAACTCGCTGATCGAATGGTGTCGCTGAGGGCCACCACCCATACGAGGGTCTGTCAAGAGACAAGTCAGAAACGCGTTCTGGGTGCCATCCGTGCCCGCAACATACCGTAGTCGGGGTAGGGCCGGCCCATCATCATGGGCATCGAATCCCGCCGAGGAGCATTCCACAACTTCCCGCTCTTGACGAGATTGTCGATCGCACGATCAACCTCTGCAAAAAAAAAAAAAGAATCAGCACTCGTACCAAAAGGGTTTTCCCCCAAAAAAATTGTATGCCCGTAGTCATCTCCACAACGGCCTCGCTTCAAACCCCAAATTTTCCCCTCTGGACGTTATGCGATTCGATTTCGGAGAAGCAATTGTAGAGATCCAAGCGGGAGTGTGTCCGTACCATCAAATTGGGAGGAAAATGCCGGAATATCCTCGCGCTGGGAGACTGAACTCGATCCTGTCAAATGTCAGTTTTTTGTTTTACTCGGGGTTCTCGGCTGTTTGATCCCATACCTGACCGGGAGGGAGGCGCCGGCTGCTCCCAAGAGACCTGGCGCGCAGCGGGCGCTTGCCAGCCCTGAGGTTCGTAGTACGAAGACATTGTCGAGATCGAAAGGACCGAAAGGGCGACGGTTCAGGGGGGAGATGATCCGGTCAGAGGCGATCTGTCGAGAAAAAAAATGTGAGCTTCGATCCACAACACACACTTTTCCAACAGTTCTCCGGATCTTCTTTCAACACATTAAAACAATGTATCGAATTTTGAGATCGTAAAAAAAATAATATCCCGGTCTCGGTAAAACCTGAGGGTATTTTTTCCCGCGCTCTTTCAACTATTTTCAATGGGGTATATGGGGTATAGAATTTTTTTTTTTTACCCAATTGGAAATTAGGAAAAACAAATATAATCAAGGTACTTACGGTAAATAGGCCTCTTTTGTCTTTCTACCACGAGTCAACGAGGCAGAGGAAGTCCAAAAATTGGAAGGATGAAAAAGAGAGGAAAAGGAGAGAGGATCCTATGGGGGGGTGGGAGATGTGGGTGTGTATTACCTTATGGGGGGAAGGAGGGGGGGGGATTTTTCATAAAATTGTAATGTACTAGAGAAAAATAGTACTCCGTACATATAGTATACAATATACGGGAAGAAAAGGGAAAAGGAGATTCATTTTCTTTTTTTTTCTTTTCTTTTTTAAAGTAGGACAACTAAAAAACTAAATACTTTGACCTAACTTGTTTTTTATTAGTGTCTTGGTGTTTAAGTATGGATTATATACTCCAAGTCTCTATACATTCTACTGGAAATCAACCTATATATTCAATGCTTTTCATTTAATACATGTATCAATCCCTTTCTTTTCTGTCGAACCTCCCAAGTACGCGGCAATTCCCGGCAACCCAAGGGCTCTTATTCGTCACTGATGGGGCCGGTCACCGGAGATTGGATGGGGGCACCGGGGAGGGAAGCGTGTGTCTAAGCGTCGAGCTTCCCTCGTGTCTGATAGTTACTATCACTTATTAATATTCATTACTGTCTCTAAACTACTCTTATACATGATGCTACTCTGTATATGTTAGTGTTCGAATCTTGGAAACTCGGCCGTTCCCCACTTAAAAACGGTGGACATTGGCATTGTGTTTCCTTTTATGCCCTCTCTATTCCTAGTATTCCTAGTACTTTTGTATACTTTCGGTACAGTATTCAAAAGATTCCAAGTTTTTAAGATCTCTCTCAAGTTATATTCACAATATAGTTAAGCTGATCTAAACTAACATGGGATTCCCTGGACTCAACGTATGATGATGCCAACCCTAGAAACTGCAAAGACTCTGCACCATGCAGTCAGCTTGCCAAGAACCTTCTGCTTCTGGACGCCATCGGAGGCTGCAACTGAACACTCTAGTCGTATGTGGAATATGATCTGCAGCTCCATATACAGTGGCTACAACAAACGCATGCAACTAGTACATGTATATATAGTCTACTGTAGCCTGCTTAGATATAGAGAGCCTCGCATAGGTCTGGTTCAAACAAGTCCCTCAAACGCCTCAGAAACAGACTCGAGACAACATACCTACATACAGAAGTATATGCAATGCAATAGTAACATTCCTCTTTCCAGAATACACTTTGAACGGTGCTTTGGCCAACTCGGTCAATTCAGGAGAGGTGGGGCGAGGTCCGTCGGCCACCATTTTATATTCTTCCGCAAGGTCCGCGCCCCTCTGAACTGGATTGGCCGCTGCAGTGTTCATGTATGTACTCATCCGACGAGCCAGTCAGCAGCCCGAGTCAAGTTCTCCCCCGCATGTACATGAGACTATGTATTTCTATAGGTGTGATCAAAGTGAATCGAGTCTATAGGTAGTGGAGGCGAGGTTACCTAGATATAAGTGTAGGAGAGGGATTTTGCGTCATATAGTCCATTCGAATATTAGCTCCCTTAAATCCTGCCCTGTTGGTGTCTATATCGATCTAGTGGGAAGATACAGTATGAAAACTTTCCTTCAAACCCTCCGGAAATGTACCACTAGCACGATACGGTCAAGCATGCCTCCGCGTTACCTTGGGGGAACGTGATAACTCCCCACTCGTCATACATGGGACTGTGCTCGGCCTAATCTGGCCCTAGGTACATTAGCCGGGTGCTTGATTTTATGGGAGTGAGACAATCTTGTAAGTCACAAGGTTGGAGCTGTCTTGATATCTGCTCAATACCAGTCTCGAGTAGTTGAAAAAAAGTTGAAGTTGTTTAATTGTTTACAAAGAAACACGCCAAAACAAGCCCCATATTCCCAATGTAGCGACCCCTAGCCCCTATAAACAAAGGCTACTACCTCACCACTGACACCTAAATTAGGCCCAGAGATGAATAGTCCAATGGCTATTATCTCACAAGGTTCATCCTCATCGGATCAGGGGAGCCATGTTCGTACTCTGAAGTGAAGTATTGGCCGGGTGCAATGGTGGGCCATATTCCGAACAAAGAAGTAGTATGAGTGTTCTCAAGTCACCAAAGATTTAATAGCAACAGAACCATACATATGTACTCTGCCGATTTCTGCTTGATTCTTTGAAAGGAGAGACATCTATAGGGTACTTATGCCTCAGGCCACTAGCATGGATTAGGTTATGCTAGTGAGCAGCACGTGCAAGGACCATGCTGATCGCGGGGAGAAGTCAAGAACGACGATCAGGAGGGAAAAGGAGAGTATAACAGATGGATCATATAAGGCCTTTTCTTAGGAATTGATATATTCATGCAATAGCCAGTAGTCCAGGGGGTTCAGCAAACCCCCGTGTTATCGATCTGTCGTCATGGTACCTGCATGAATGCATAGCTCGGTGATACTGCGGGCACTGGCTTGCCGCATTTTGGCCTTCTGGCTTCAGGTTTCAGGTTACTGAGGTCCTATAGGAGAAAAGAATGAAGAGCACCCTGTAGTGAGAAAGATGTAAGCGAGAGGTCATATTAGAGGGACAAAGGACAGAAGTCAGCCCCTAATTGTTGCAATAATGAATGAGGGTAGAGAGCTATGCCCCCTCCCCCAATAGTCTCTCTCTATGGCTCCATCCAACGTCGTTATAACGCCAATTCGTTCTCACTCAACACATCACTTCGAACTTGCAGATACCTACCCTAGGTAAACTCATCTGATCCTCGAACTTTTTATATACATAAAATCGTTGACGTTGGGAAGATCCGACCTCAGTTATTGAGCGGTCGGCAGTGTCTTTACCGCCGACAGGGGCTGACCTTCATCTTCACCTCTCAAATTCCCCTCTCTGGACTACGCTTCCTTTCTCCAAAAACAATCGGAAACCCAGGCTGGTTCCTACATATTTGCTTTAAGGGAAAACTGGACTGTATGGTTCATCCAGCACTTTGGTCCTCTTTCGTCACTTTTCTTTGATCCAATCCTCGAACGTCCAGTCTCCCTCCGCTCTCTTCTCCCTCAAGACCGTTTTTTTATTTTATTATTTTCTTTTCGTGTCTTATTTTCATCTCCTGGTCGAGGCATTGTCTTTTTTACATTTTTTTCAATTTTTATCGGTCCCGAGTGAAAGGGAAAAAAATTCGGCTTTTCGCGACTTTCGAGGGCGATTGAAAGTCTCCCACCACGATCTGCTTCCCGCTTGTTCCACATATCAACGAACCCTTTGACGTGTTACACACGTGTCTTAACCTCTCTCGCCCGAATCTATCGATCATAAACAAAATCCCTTCAGTGATTTCCAACTGAGCGGAAACCGAGGGGATTATATTGTGTGGTGTGTGGGAGTGGACTCTTATCTTCTTTGCCGAGCCCCGTACGGACGGACCACAACGGTGTGGGAGTTGCGAATTGCTATATGGTCGCAAAAATCGATGGGAATGCGAAGTGTTCCCTCCACCGTGACGTCGCCTCGCTAGCGTCGGCGAAGCCCTCCACGATGGCATGGATGCCTAAATCCGTTGTGCCACAATCTGACGTGCCAGAGACGGCCGCTCGACCTCCGTTGACTTCGCATCAGTCCAATTCTCTTCCTTCCACTCCATACCAGCATGCGCGCAACCTTTCCTTCCACTCGCGGTCGCCGTCCCCCGCCCGCGGAAGCACCTCCCCTCGATCAACCCACTCCGAGGCCACACATCTACCCCCGTTCTCCCGGAAACCGCTCGGAGGATGTAAATATGAGACCGCCATGGCGTATTTTCGACGACGGATACCGTATAGCCTAGGGGCAGATATACTACCAGAGGAGAAGGGCCCATTGAAGGAGCGACTCAGCCCGGACGAGGAGAAAAAATTGTCGACTGAAATCATGGATCTGTATGATCAATTGTTACCATCTGCCGAGAGTGATGATCGACGACGACAACTTGTTCGCAAATTAGAGAAGCTTTTTAATGACCAATGGCCTGGTCATAATATTAAGGCGAACATTTTTGGCTCATCGGGGAATAAACTCTGTTCCAGTGACTCGGATGGTAGGTTTTATCTTTTTGGATAGTGAGATCGAAAAGGCACAAATACTGACGTGAGCAGTGGACATTTGCATCACAACCAACTACAAGGAATTGGAGCATGTGTGCCTGTTGGCCGAGGTGTTAGCTAAACGTAAGAAATCACCGTTAACATAACTTGATCGAATGACAGACTGACTTGAACAGACGGGATGGAACGGGTGGTGTGTGTATCGCACGCAAAGGTCCCCATCGTGAAGATTTGGGACCCGGAACTCCGATTAGCCTGTGACATGAATGTCAATAATACCTTGGCGTTAGAAAATACTCGAATGATTCGGACATATGTTGAGGTAGATGAAAGAGTGCGGCCTTTGGCAATGACCGTCAAGCACTGGACGAAGCGAAGAATTCTCAATGATGCGGCACTTGGGGGAACTCTTAGTTCTTATACCTGGATCTGTTTGATCATTAACTTCTTGCAAACAAGAAACCCTCCAATTCTCCCAAGTTTGCAAGCACGTCCGCACAAGAAGAGGATGACTCAGGATGGATTGGTCTGCTCGTTCGATGACGACCTCAAGACCTTGTCTCAATTTGGCCGCAAGAACAAGCAATCGGTTGGCGAGTTGCTCTTTTCGTTTTTCCGGTATTATGGCTACGAACTTGATTATGAGAAGAACGTCATCTCAGTACGAGACGGCACCCTGATCAACAAAGAGGCCAAGGGCTGGCACCTGATGTTGAACAACCGACTGTGCGTGGAGGAGCCGTTCAACACGTCAAGAAATCTAGGCAACACCGCTGATGACACCTCGTTCCGGGGATTACATTTGGAGTTGCGAAGAGCTTTTAAGTATATCGCAAACGGTGACCTAGAAGGGTGTTGTCAGCAGTTTGAATTCCCGGCAGAAGAGGAGCGGACCTGGGAACGACCACCGCCCCAACCACGACCAACTCTCACGCCTTCCCTTCCATCGCGGGGCGGACGGGGAGGAAATCGTGGTGGCAGATATAATAATCAGTTCTCGCGAGGTGGGCTCACTGGTGGGCGACGACAGTCAAACACTGGAAACAAGTCCAACTTCCGGCAACCGAATACTGGCACTGCAACAGATATCTCTTTGCAAGCCCAACAGCAAGCACAGTATCTTCTGCATGACCAGTTATACCAACAAATCCAGCTTTTGCAGGCCCAGGAGCAAGAATTGCGGATGCAATTACATAGCCAGGCATTGATTACTGGGAGACCACCGCCGGTATTCATCCGTCAGCCATTTATCCAATTTCCAGTTCCTCAACAGCAAGAGTTCTCAGACGAAAGCTCACGGCCGAGGTCAGGAACAGGAGCAGCAAGCCATGCTACTCTGAGCCCAACTCAACGACAACAAACAATGTATAACCCTACCCCTACTTATGCTTCAGTTGGTGCATCTGGCTCACAGGTGACCACCAACCCTCCCTCGCCATCTGCTGTTAGTGTTATGCCTGATACTCGTCGTAACTCTCGGCGATTGTCGGCTGCCAACGGATCCCCGAAGTCTCTTCGTGCGCATTCACAACCTGCACGGCCTCAGGGCTCACCCTCTCTCCCCAACTATATTCCTCTTTATACCATGCCGCCACCCACGGAGAACTGGTCAAAACAAAGGCCGGCCACCGAGTCAGAAGGCGGAGAAGGCAGTGGTGACGAGAACGCAATGCGCTCAAACAGCCTTGCCAGCAATGGATCCCACTCAACGTCTGTGGATGACAATCGGCCGCAAGATGTTTTGGGTTATTATATAACTCCTCAACAACTGCAAGCCTTCCAGCAAGGTTCTATGCTGCCACCATTGTCCACGCAGATGGGTCTAGTCTCGAATGGATATTCGTTTATCCCCCTTCAGCCAGATTACCGACCGGGATCGTTCTCGTCGGAAACTGCTCACTCCGAGCACACTCCAACTTCCAAGCCCCCGTCGCAACCCGTCCAATCTACTCCACGCCCAGCTGCACCCGGTCCTTTGATCGTCGATGGATCGGTGCGTCCGAGTGAGGCTCGCTCCGCATATCCACCTGACTTGATTGACCCTTACTCTGCCGTAAGCCATTATACGTCGTCGGATGATCACAACATGAACACACCTGCAAGTTTCTCCGATTCTTTGTCTCAAGATTACCAGGATTCCGGGTCCTTTGACTTGGAGAACTCGGCTGTCTTCACTCGGCCATCTACGGAAACGCAAAAGGTTAATGGCGCGGGCGGGGAACAGCAGTCAGACGGGAATGGCCAATCTGAGCTTCTTGCTAGTCGGCTGCAGAACTACCACCTCTCGAATTCCGAGAAGCTGGTACAGCAACCCACGAAGACAAGTCCGGATCGACCAAGGAATGGCATAACACAAGCATCAGGAAAAGAAGCCGGTCAACCTAAGCACTCGGGACAGATGAGCGAGAAACCTGCCTCATCCGGGCCGAATGAGAATCGGCATCAGTCAACCAACTCCAAGCGCCGAACCAACGGAGACCATTCCGACAAGCCGAACGGTGTTAATGGCAAGAGCAAGCCAAAAGGCCAAGGCCGACACGACAGCTCTCACAACGCTGCTCCAGGCACCAAAGATCGACACAATGACTCCCGGAGATCAGGCGGACAGGCTAACGGCGCAACCGATGGCAGCCATGGATGGCAGACGACCAAGAAGAAGAACCGCAAGAACACCAGATCGTCAACAGAGTCTAGAAGCGGCGTTAACAGCGGTCATGATCTCGTTCCTACAGATGATTCTTTACGAAAGGGCGGTTGACCAAGTGTGTACCGTTGCACTTCCAAAACCATCTCCATGAGAAATGAGCAGATACTCACCTCCAACCTGATTCCATTGCTCAGTTCCAAATTTCCGTCCACGCGGTATCCCCTCAACGAACTCACGTTCCACTGAAATACATTGTTTTGCTCTTTGTTTTTTTTTTTATTTCCCCTTTCCCTATCATTGAGGGATCAGGGTCCATATATGCATGCATTCGTTGCCATCGGGAAAGTTGGCCGGTTCATTTTCCAGGAAACGCCTGCACCGAGACGATTTCTTTGCAGCTGTTTGGAGTTCTTTGTGTTTCAATAGGTTAGACCTGGTTCTGCGTCTGATGTTTTTCATTTTCTTATGCCAAATTTTTTTTTCTTTTTTTTTTCGGTCCTGGTTCTGTACAAAAGAGAAAGAGATTAACCTGCCTTGTTGCCAATGAGAAACAAACCAAAATTTTCGAAAAAAAAGTCTTCTTTTTCCTGCTGGTCGTGATGTCTGATACATATGTACCTGGATTGTAGTGTCTTTGACCCTACATGACTTCTAACTCATTCCATTGTCTTAGACTGTTGGCAGAGTGTCTATAAATTGGAGACTGGGAGACTTGGGAGACTAGGCTGCAGATAACAAAGACCTAGAGAACAAAGAGAAAAAAATGAAGAAAAAGGGGGGAAAACAGTCTCGTTCTCACATTATGTATCTCTCCCTATCTTCATCGTGTTCATCCTCGTCCTCACCCACCTACCTCAACCGAAGAATAACCCATCCTCTGTATCAATCGCACACCAGAAACCACAAATTCAAAGAGGCTACATACATAACCAAGACCCAAAGCAGCAAATACCCAAATTCCCCAAAAAGAGAAAGATAAAAGAAGAAAATGTGGATCCTCTTCCCTACACTCGTGCTGTATTTGTACTATTGCTTTTTCTTCACCTACGGTGTAATCTGCGAGACCCTTTCTAGCATATCTTTCGTGCACAATTGCGTCATGCGGTCATTCGGTACCGTCATGTCTCTCTTTTCCCTGAATGGGAATTGGAATTCGGGTCTAAACTTCCAGCTGCTAGGGGTTGGTGGTCTGCCTTGGATTAGTTGTGCGACAGCCCCGATGCCGATTGCACCTAATTTCTTTGCATTTTCGTTTTCGTTTTGTTTTGGGGTGTTGGCTTATATGCTTTGTGCTGATTTGGTTTGATAGTTCTGCTTTTTTTTACATATCTTTGTCTCTATGGTGTATCTGGTGTCTGGGGGAGGGGGGTTTGAAAGATGTGCATGCATGGGCGGATGTGAAAAGCATGAATTGATTGGAGTTGATTGTAATTTTTTGCGGGCATTGACAGGGAGAAAAAACATTGATTATTGGAATGTTCAGAATATATTGACATTGCATCATTTATCATGGAGATAATAATATGGCATATGATGTGGTATATAGTACAGTACATCTGTAACACAGATCTATCAGTGTATCTGATGCAGAAGATTAAATCACATAAAGGCGTTGGGGAGACAAAAACGAAATAAAGCCGGGATATTAAAACAGAAGAACACAAGTATGTTCACCAGGGAGAATGTAAAATGATATGCTGGGACCTCCTCCATTGTCGTTTTTTTTTGGAGGGAAATTAGAACATCAATTGATGAAAGCCAAATCAGTACCAAATCTCAGTCCAAACGTATGGCAAAAGTACGACAGAGGCTGTGTACAAGATCATGACGGCGTAGTATGGGAATAGGAGAAGCTGGGCCAGAGGCGTATCACAGAAAAGAACCCAGATAGAGAGGAAGGCGACAGAGAAGAAATGGCTGACGAGGACGAGGGGTTTCTTGATCAGACCGGCCAACAGCCCAACAGGGCCGCCAATTGGTCCAACCTGGAAGTAGCGGAAACAACCACGTTGAAGAGCTCGGAGGCTTTCGTCTATTGATACGCAGTTAGTAATCTGGAATGAACTGAAGAGTAAGCATACATACTGTCCGCAGCGAAGAGAGCATAGAGAGCCTGTGCGAGGATATTGATGACCGAAGAAGAGTTCTTGCGCCTCCAGTGAAATTCCGCGAGCTGTTCGAGAACAAGGCCTGTATTGGAAAGAGTGGGTACACGCTCTGGGCTGAGTAATTCGCGGATGAGACAGACATCGTTGAGCGCCACCGTCATGCCTCCACCCGTGAGAGGGTGCCGCATGTTGAGCGCATCTCCCAGAATCATCAACCCGGGTGTCTTGTTGGCCGAGGCAGGCAGGAAGGAGTTCGGCATTGACCGTAACTGACCCTGCTCTAGCGCATCGGAGAACGACTTCTGGGCACCCTCTGGGAGCTGGGGCAGGATGCTGTTTCGCATATAACCCTTGACACCCCCATTCTGCACCGAGGCCAGGGGGAAGTTATCGGGGATATCGATAAGGATTCGGGTTTCGTGGGTGCCGATCTGATACATGAGCACGGGCGGGTTATCGCTGAGGAGGACATGACCAGTGTTGGGCTCAGGGAGTTTAGCATCGATAAGCTCCAAGCCATAGAACTTCGATCGCCGTTTGGGTGCGTATTGGTGGTGTTCCTTGCGGAATTCGGAGTTGTAGCCGTCGGCAGCCACGGTGAGTTGGCCGAAATAGCAATCCTTGTGGTTCTCCGTTACACACTCGACTCCAAGGACTTCCTGGGTATGTGACGATGTGATAAGACCAGTCACCTTGGTTTCAACCACTGTGACATTGGGGGAAGACAAGGCGGCTGCTCGTAGTTTCATCACGAATCGACCATGATGGAAGGCTCGCCCCAACGGTGTAGGAGAGGTTGGGGAGGACTTGGGGTATTCGAGGAGAACCGGCTCGCCATGGTAAGAAACCCAGTATCCCTTCACGTCAATACCATCGATATCTTCCAGACAATCCCGTAGCCCTAGTTTCTCGAGCGCTTGAACACCTCCTGGTTGGAGTAGTTCACCAACAATGCGGTTGGGCTCCTCCAACGATTTTTCCAGCAAAATCACACTGCGTCCTTGCTTTCCAAGTGCAACTGCGAGTGCACAGCCCAGGACTCCAGCACCCACAATTACAACATCAGCTTCGTGATGGTCGACGCGACGTTGAGCGGCCGAGGAGAGGGAGTCATTATCATTGAGCACGGAGGCCATTTTTGGGGGGTTTGAAAGGGTAGATGTTGTCAGAACGGAGTCGACGGAGGCAGGACCATTATTGGCCTAAGAAATTGATTTAAATAAAAGTCGATTGGCCGTGATTATGGGCTGATGTTCCTTTTTTGTTGCGGATAGAAAGGGGTGGCGTGACATGTGAAAGGACCACTCTCTCCGCCTTCTCAATTTTACACAGCAGGAGACATCACGGGATTTCATCTTCCCAAGTGGACTGATATGAATAACATCTATAAGGACATACATTTATGAATCTATTGAAGATTTCTATTGTACATAGCAATATTTACAGTATTATACATATTCACTGAGACGCCCTATGTCCCTGATAACCCTCATACTCCATGTACTCCTCGTATTTTCCCTTAGTTGAAAACTCAAGGTGGTAGTCGGACGAGTACTTCTCGGGCACATAATGCTTGCCCCAATTCGCTGGGTTGTTCCAAGGGTATTCAGGATCTTCTGGAGGAACGGTGTGCGATTTCAAGACATTGGACTCAGCCCACCACTTGGCATGATCAGGAGCGTCGAACTGCTTACGCCTGAGCAACATATCCAGCTCCCACTCTTCGTCAAATTTCGTGATGAGTTCCCCTAGTTCTGTGGTGGGCAGTAGATGTTGTTGCTCAGTGATTTTGAATGGCTTTGAACGATTCAACCTTTTCAACTCCGGGTGAACATTGATGGTTGACCAATGCGAATTCCCTTCAAACTTGGCCTCCAGCGCCCCCACGATTTGCCGCAGTACTAAAACTTGCCCCGGGGCCTCGTAGGAGCCAGATGATCTGATCGCATTTTCCAACGAGCCCAACTGAGAGGTGGCTTCCACGACAAAGTCTTGACTGATGGGCTCATTGCGCGAAAGGACTGTCATTATGCACCACCAGACCCCCTTGAAGTTATGGATATTGGAAAACGCACGCAGAAGCATCTTCAACAGTACCTGGTCGAAGCCATGAGAGAGCCGCCATCGAGATTGGTAGATTGTTGTGAGGAGATCGACGGCAATTTCTGGCGTTCCACCCCCAATGAGGTAACGGCTGGAAGAAGTCGCGCAGAAGTGCTTCACCGAAAGACCATTGGTGTTGGCACAAATATCATAGTATTCAAAAATGGCCATCTTGATCAAGCCTCCGTGCCCAATGGCTTCTGGGTCCACCTCCATGACTCGTTGGAAGAAGATGGGAATCCATGAAGTGAAGCGCTTGCTATAACGGAGAGCAGGAACATTCTTCCAGTAATCCCATTCGGATGTAATCAGACGTCGCGCATTCGCCAAGCCTGTCTTTGTGCAACTGAGAATTGCGGCGATGACAGCCAGCTTCAGGTGAAGTGGTCTAACAACGTAACCACCGGTGGTGGCGTGATTGTAAATTGCCAGAGCATCGGTGTGCCTACCCATGTTGATGAAGTGCTCCATCCGCTTGTGGAGCGGAACATATAAACTGGCATTTTTGGAGGCCACCATCTCACTCACCGTCCGGGGGAAAGATTCCTCCGCGGGAATATGAATCGGAGCAATTTTCTCTCCTCGTACTGCCCAAGTATCAGAGCTAGACCCAAGAATGCGGCGGGAAGAAGTTAGGTGATCTTGTCGATTCTTGGCGGCTTGCTTCAATCGCCAAATTCCCACCGGGTTGTCGGTCATTGCGAGTCTTCGACTCTTCACCAATGACTTGATAAACCCATCGTCAATGCCTGTATTCCAATTCTGGTCGCGGGCCATGTCCATAATGGTTTTGATCATATCTTCGTTGCCCTTTTCAATGATCGCTTCGAGGATGTGTCGGTGGAGCACCTTGTCGGGTTGTATGTCAAAATCGTTGACACAAGAAATGACGAAGTCGAGAACTTGCTGGCCTGTGTGGGTGGGATAGTATTCCAAAAAGACACGGTCGAAAATCATCGTGAAATCCTTCTTTGATTGGGTGTATCCGTGCTCGTGCATGCCATGCATGCCATCCATCACTTTGTCCCATTCACAGTTAAGCGCTCTGTTATAGATAATCAAGCCAATGGTCCGGCATCCAGGCTCGGTTCCATAAAGTGTTGGCATTGCCTTGACCAAAGCTTCCGCTTCTTCGGCACGACCAGTTTCAACCATGGCCTTGACCATTGGGTTGAAAAGTTTCTCAGTTGGTTTCCGATCGAGTGATTCGAGGCGTTTGAGAATGAGGCCGAGTTGGGAAGACAACAATTCCATGCTCCTAGTCTTCCTCCATAGTCCATCAAGGTAAGCACCACACAGACCACAGTCACGGTCATCCTCGAAGCGCTGGAAGAAGAGGAATTTGGCAGAGTCCAACCGTTTAGACTCGATCAGACACCTGAGGATGACTTCCAACAGATGGGTTGGAACAACAAAGCTGGTGCTGAATTTCTCATATATAACACCAACAGAGTCAATGTGGCCCTCTTTCGCAAGCAGATGCATCAGTGTAGCCCACATCTCCGCTGAGACGATACTAACTTTGTCCATGCGATTGAACAAGGTCCGAGCAACGAACAAGTTTCCTTTGATGCAGTTTGCAGTGAATATAATACATGCAAGCTCTCTGCGTTCCCAAGAAATGATAGGTGTCTGCCGAGTGTGTGCCAAGAACAAATTCGCAGCAGTGATTTCCCGCTCTTGACTTAATAACCTGCGAATTTCCGCGTCGAAGGGCAGCTTGCCGGATTCTCGTGCGATTTCACCCTGTTGTTTCTCACGGGCCAGAATCTCAGCGTTCTGAGCCAAGCTTGGAGCATCAATGTTTCTCGAGTAATTGTATTGTGCAATTGGATCGTTCCCAAATAGCGAACGTTTTGAGCGAGCGTGGTGTTTTTCCAAGCTGACCAGGGGTTTGGGCTTGGGCTTTGGACCAGCCTTTTCTGTCTCGAACCCTGGCTCATCTGGGCCGTCGGGTAGGTTCCGATTCCTCGCTTTGAGGGATTCAATTCCCATGAACTCGCCCGCCTCCGCCGCTTCAACCATCACTTTGAGTCGTTTGGCAGCAGATGTTGCATCGTAATTCGGCGCGGTACTGTGTAATGTTCGTTTGTTCTCGATGATTTTCTCGGCGATGCGGACCCGGCGATGGGCTTCGTACGTGAGGGCTGCAACGGTGCAGAATCCACCAACTGTTGAGCCGGCTAGAGCCAGTTGGCGGAGCACCCGGAGAGCATTTGGAGAGGGGACTATTGAGCTGGATTTTGCGGCGCGGGAAAGCATATTGCAGGTGCTGAGCGCGGGTTGCGCGCGAGTTCACCAGTCGTGCATGAGCGGCCTTGCACCAATGATCTGAAATGAGGAGATGGGTGAAACGGATGAAACGTAGATAGCGCCAACCACCAGCTATGATCCAAGATTAGGTGTACCGGCAATTGAAGCTGGGGGAGCAGGGTAACTTCGGAACAACTTCTTTTTTCCCGATGCAAATCAACTTGCGTGTTAGGTCGGTGCCGCCCGCCGGAGCCTGCCCTGGTCATACGATCCTGGATGTCTAACCTTGGAACCCGGTACATCTTCCACAGCTGCCCTCAAACTACCATACAAGATATAAAACATATCGGGAAAACCGATGCCAAAGAAAGTCAAGGTACCCTTAGCATATTCTAGGACTATCGATATTATTTGTGTTCTCTAACGGCTCTTTAGCTTCTGTTTCTAGCATGCATCAAGCATCTTCACCACTGGATACCTAACAGCTACATAGGGAGGTATCAATAGGAGTTCGCTGAAATAAAAACCCCCCCCCCAAGTCTATTTCCATCACGTAGACCATGTTCCATTGGAACACATGCCGCAAGCAAGTGCAGCTTATTATATCAAAGAACCCTCCATCATAGCAAAAGCCTATCATGCTCGTCGGCATCTTCTTCTACGCTTATATCGGCAGAAGATCCATCCTCCAGGGTAACTGGCAGAATAGTGAGTATATTTCTTGTAGCAGGTCAGGAAAATAAACATACCGTGTGACCTGATCAGTAGACTCATAAGGAATGCTACACCAAAAACAGCTGCAAGTGCCACAAACACTGTCTCGGGTAACGTTGCAACAGTCAGACTGTATATTAGGTTAAAGATAGTAGGTGCAATAACTCGAGCAAGAGCATGCAAAAGACCAGTGGCACCGAGCATCTGTCCAATGCGTTCATGCGGCACATGCTTGGTCAGAGATGACTGCAGGATTGCAGATCCCATGCCACCTAGCGATGCAACGACACCAGAAATTATCATGACTGATGGTGTTTTGGACAGAGCATAGCCAATATAGCCCAGTATATCGAATATAATGGATGCACGGATCAGAACAACATCCAACGTGTCTGAACCGCGAATGGTTCCATCTTCCTTGCATGGGGTGCGGAAAAACCGGGAGATGAGTGGAAGTACCAGGAAAAGATTGACCACCCGCACCACGTTAATGATCGCCACAAATAGACTGGACTCCACGCTGCCCCAGTTGAACATATATCCGGCGTAGATAATGATAACCTGCATTGTGCCCAGAGCAACTCCAAAGACAGCGGTATCAATAGCAGCCAGCAGCATGATATTCCGGCGTAGAGCTGGACTGGCACCGCGGCGGTTAGGGAACAAGACACTTGGCTTTCCAACGGCGGGCATTAGAATTGCAAGCGGGGTGATCAGTTTCATTGGGTTCCAGACACGCCAAGAATACCATTTAGGAGAGTCAGCATCCACAATTTTCATACGATGCTTTTCGCGGGCTGCGAGTTGTCGATCTTTAGACAAAGATTCAGGGACGATGAAGAAGACCGATAGACAGAAGGTTACGTGGAATGCGAGCGCAATGTAGAAGACGACCAGCGTGCCTCCATGCTTGATCAAAAATGCTGCACCGCCAGGTCCAGCTGCAATTCCAAAGAACAGAGCACCATGGAATAAACCAAATGCCACGCTTCGTTTTTCGGTGGGTGTACAATCAGATGCATAGGAATGGATCAAAGCCTGTGCGGTTGTAAATGATCCACCCAGTCCATCCATAACGGCTCCAAGCAGAAGCATATTGACCGAGACCCGGTCAGGCCATGTAGCCAAAATAACAGTGATGACCTCATTGAGGACCGCGCCCATCGCTCCCAGCGCGATCATCTTGGTTCTTCCGTAACGATCAGATAAGTGTCCGAGCCGGGGACTCGCCAATGCTGATAAAATACCCGCAACGAGATTGAGATAGAGTTGGAACTGGGCAACCAATGACTGAATTTGTGGGATCTGGCACTGGGGGTTGTGCTCGCCAAATATAACAGGGAGATAGGTGAAACCAGGCTCTTGAGTGGTCTTTTCGGCGAGATAATCTCGACAGATGAGTGACATGATCAAATTGATCTTAGGCACGGCCATTCCACCAATGCCCAGAGTAAAAAGGACACCGAATGGGAGTAGCCACCAAATCTGTCATGTTGCAGGTTAGAAAGTGGTTCCTGACGCTTTTGTCGCAACATAGTCACTCACGCTTGGGTTCCTCCATTTCGGCTGACTATTGGTAAGGTATGGAGGCGGTTGATGCAATAGGCTATCGGCTTCATCGATTAGAGGAGTGGTTTCATTCACATCTTCAGTGCGAGTCTCTCGGGTGAGCAACTGCGCAATATCGGGCTCTCCCCGCAAAGAGCTCTTCGTTCTCCATGATGAACTTGGTGGCATTGGCGGTGGTTCCAATAATTTCCAATATTATCGCATACTTGATTTGTAAGATTTCAAGGGACACTTCATTCTCATATGAAAGAGGGGGAATGTTAGCGGTTAGAATTCCTTGAATTCTTATCGGGATTCCATCATTGGCAGCTCTTAGCTCCGGAATCTCCGCACGGACTTAGGTGCTTGGTTATATTAAGGTGTCATTCTGACGATTGATGCTTCTTTTATATTCTTGAATGGAATTGAAAATATATTATAGCGTACATTAACCCCGAAATTGTATACTCTAACAACGCCTCCAACACCTCATAGTGCCGTATACACATACATCCAAGGCTGAACTCTTCTAGTCCAAATCAAAAACTCAAGACTCAGCTTAGATCACCATAGAAGCATTTTCTTGACCTGCAAAGAATTTCTTCTGATTCAAGCATTTCTCGCTGGTGCAACCCTGGCAACGCAGTGTCATCTGGCGAGAACACAATTCTCCCTTTTTCAGATGGTCGCGAGCAATATCGGCAAGTGCCTGAATAAAGACTGGGTTTCCGTTCAAGCTCTGTGCGCGCTTGACACCCGGGTGGTTGGCTTCATGGATAACTTCCTGATCCAGCTCGAAGAGTGTCTCGACGTGGTCACTTGTAAACGCAATGGGAACCAGGACCAGGTCTGTCTGTCCTCGTTTCACATACTCTTGAACGGTATCACTGGTCTGGGCCCCGAGCCACGCACTAGGTCCCACTTGAGATTGCCAGCACAGGCGGTAGGGGTTTTTGAAGTTGAGTCGTTGCATTACGGCATGAACTGTCGCGGCAACCTCGGCAGGGTAGGGGTCGCCTATGTGAGAGAGTAATTAGAGTGGTTCTTGTAATTAACCAGGGGATATCAGCCTACCTCGGTTGACAACGCTCATAGGTAAGCTATGGGCCGAAAACAGCAGCACGACCTTGTCTCGCTTCTCCTCTGGGTAGGTCTTGAGCTGGTCCTCGATGTTCTGTGCGAAAGCCTCCACAAGACCAGAGTGAGAGGGCCAACGGTCAATGACACTCCATTGGATTGTGCCAGCTGGCTCGGACCCTCCATTCGCACGCTTTCCCTCGAGACGATTACGCCACTTCCATAGTTCATTAAGGGAACTGCCAGTTGTTGAACAGGAGTACTGCGGGTATTGTGTGAATGCGACAGCACGTCCTCCCTTGCCATTGCCAAACCCATCGGCAAAAAGCTGCTCATACATGGTCTCGGTCAATGGGGCAGCGTAGCGGAAGGCGACATAAGGTTTATGCGGCGCAGTCTCTGGGGAGATCTTATCCAATATCTTACACATTTCTGCGCACTGGTATTCGGACCATTTCCGAATTGGCGATCCGCCGCCGATATCTGCGTACTGCTGTTGGATCTTCGGGGTTCTTCGGCGTGCGATGAGGGGGCCGAGATACGATTGGAACCGCCCCAGAGGAATCAAATCGCCATCGGCCTGTGATTCAATGGGTCAACATATAAATTCAACGCGGCCATTGTAGCAATTTATGACACGTACAAATAGTCTGCTCAAAAAGTCCTCCACCTCGTCCGTTGTAGAAGGTCCACCCATGTTCATGAAAACCATAGCCGTCGGGCCCTTGGATCCTGTCGCATCTTGTGTGACTGGTGGTACCACTGTCGCAAGACCTCGTTGATCGGCCATGCATCTCAATCGACTGTTAATTGCTGACCGACCTCCGAGGGAGGTTGCTCCAGTCAATAACTGCCGGGGGATTGTGAAAGGGCTGCGGAATGCCATGATTGGTACCGGGTGATATTATATCTGCGAACAGAGCAAAAATAATATCAAGGTATAGATGAGGAAATGAGGAAATGACAATGCCAATTATTATTTGTGTCCGACTTGGACCTCGGAGTTGTGTTAAACCCGGTCCTGGTTTCCTTACGTAGCTTCCGCGGCCCACCGGCTCTAGCCAATCAGTGTACGAGAATGTCAGCAGCTTCAGGCATCAGCGTCACCTGACTTTCGTGTTGCCCGCGTCGGAGAGCGCGTCTCAATACTTTGGACTTTGATTAATTTACAACTCTTTAATCTTTCCAATCTTTTCAAGATTCTTTGTTTCACAATCATGGCTGAAGAAAGTTACACGCGCGAGGAGGAGAATTACGAGGACGAGGAGCTCGACGAGACCGTGAGTATCAAAAGTTGGAGATATAGTTACCGACTGTTGACTGTTGCCTACATAGAGCTTCAAATCAGTCAAAGATGCGGTGCTATTTGCCATAGACATTAGCAGCTCGATGCTCACGCCTCGTCCATCTCCTGATCCTAAGAAACATACTGATGAATCCCCCGCGTCTGCAGCCTTGAAGTGTGCATACCATCTGATGCAACAACGCATCATCTCCAACCCTCATGACATGATTGGCGTTTTGCTTTATGGAACCCAGTCTTCCAAATTTTATGATGAAAATGAGGAGGACCGCGGAGATCTTTCATATCCTCACTGTTATCTGTACACAGATCTTGATATTCCATCAGCCCAGGAAGTCAAGCAACTACGGTCTCTCGCATCCCCAGAAGATGCTGATGATGGTGTACGGCAAGTATTGAAGCCGTCAAAGGAGCCAGTGTCGATGGCCAATATGCTGTTCTGCGCCAACCAAATCTTTACCTCGAAGGCTCCAAACTTTTCATCTCGACGACTGTTTATCGTGACTGACAACGATAATCCCCACGCAGAAAATAAAGGAATGCAGTCTGCTGCAACAGTTCGTGCAAGGGACTTGTATGACCTTGGTGTTAATATCGAGTTGTTCCCCATCTCTCAGCCAGATCACCAATTCGACACCTCTAAATTCTACGACGTGAGTAATTAGCCCTGATTATATAGTGGTATACTCACAATTAGCAGGACATTATCTACAAAACATCGCCCAGTGATGGAGATGCCCCAGCATACCTTCAGCCAGACACCAACACACCAACAGCTAAAGGTGACGGACTCTCATTGCTCAATTCCCTATTGTCTAGCATTAACTCGAGATCTGTCCCCCGCCGGTCGCTGTTTTCAAATGTGCCACTTGAGATTGGACCTGGTTTCAAAATATCTGTCAATGGATATTTGCTTCTCAAAAAGCAAGAGCCTGCCCGGAGTTGCTTCGTCTGGCAAGGAGGCGAGACTGCTCAGATTGCCAAAGGTGTCACGACTCTAATGTCCGATGATACAGGACAGGAGATCGAGAAGTCTGACATTCGAAAGGCATACAAGTTTGGTGGCGAGCAGGTTTCATTCACTATCGAAGAACAACAGGCTCTAAGGAGCTTCGGTGACCCTGTGATCCGTATCATTGGGTTCAAGCCACTGGCAGCCCTCCCGTTTTGGGCCAACGTCAAACACCCTTCGTTCATCTATCCTTCAGAAGAGGATTACATTGGCTCAACACGGGTCTTTTCTGCACTGCAGCAGAAACTCCTTGATTCTGAGAAACTAGCCTTGGTCTGGTTCATCCCCCGTAAAAATGCCTCGCCTGTCTTAGCTGCTATGATTGCCGGGGCTGAGAAGATCGATGAAAATGGTGTGCAGAAAATCCCACCTGGGATGTGGATTATCCCTCTTCCTTTCGCGGATGATGTGCGCCAAAATCCAGAGAGCACCGTCAACCGGGCGGGGGATGCGCTGAATGACGCCATGCGCGATGTGGTTCGCCAATTGCAGCTTCCCAAGGCTGTATATGAGCCTTCCAAATACCCGAATCCTTGTGAGCCTTTATCACTGCGATTTGTTGAAGATGATACTGACTAGTTTGCAGCGCTTCAATGGCATTATCGTATCTTACAGGCTATTGCCTTGGATGAAGATTACCCAGAGTCACCAGATGACAAGACTGTGCCTAAGTATCGACAGGTTCACAAGGTTGGCTACTTCGAAAATCCCAGAAATTACATGAATGTACTAACCTAATGGATGCTCTACCACAGCGCGCTGGCGACTATATTCTTAAATGGGCCGAGGAACTTAAATTGCAGGCCTCCGAGATGTTTGGCAGCTCTGCAGCCACCTCTACGCTGGTAAAGCGAGGTGCGAAGACCGAGCCTGCTGGTGACCACCCATCAAAACGGGTTAAGGTTGAAGACAGCGCCTCTGGGGTTGAAGATGAAGTGAAGAATTGCTATGGGAAAGGCACTCTTTCCAAGGTGAGAATCCAAATTATCTCAGGTAATTGGCCAAACTAACACTATGTACAGCTTACGGTGGTCATGCTGAAGGAATTCTTACATTCCCATGGTCGTGCTACAGCAGGGAAGAAAGCAGATCTCATAGAACGAGTTGAGCAGTACTTTGAGAAGAAGTTTTAAAACGCTGGTTTGAGGTTTGTTTGGGATCATCTCATCCAGTGTTGGTGCAATTTGGGGCCCGTTTAATGAGTTACGAGTGTATCCTACTTCCCTGTTTACATATGGCGATGTCATTCCGAACCAATGGCCTTTATTCAATTACAAAATACCTATACATAGTATATAATCAGCGAACCCCCCAAAAAAAGCATATCCCTTAGAGCCATTGGAACCTTGGAAACCACCATAGCTGACTAACCGCCATTTGGTGCCGAAAATGAATGTGGGGAAGTGGGGGAACCCCAGACTTGATCCTTGAACACCTACTTGCATATTGCTCTGGGAGAAAATAATCCGGGGGAAAGTTGATGCAGAATCTTTCCTTGGGTTAATTCTTTTCGGCGCAATTGGGATCGATGCCTGTCCTCCCTCAAATTCATGTGCTTATATAATATTCCGACAAAATCACCCCGCCACCAGGTTTGAAAACCATTCACTACTGAGAATATGGACAGAGTACGGCCACGGGATGATAAAAGATGCCATACATGCAATAAGACATTCTCCAAAAAAGAGCATCTCACTAGGCACGTTCGTGGTCACACCAAAGAAAGGCCGTTTGTATGCTCAGTCTGTGGGAAACTATATTCGCGGAGGTACGAGATGTTCCAAATGGTCAGTCAAATTGTGTACTAAAATCGTTAGTGACGTCCTGCGTCGGCATGAGCGAAGCCACAATGTTCAATTGGAGAGCTTGGCCAATGTATCCCCACAGGGTTTCGCTGATAGTTCTGCGATGCTCACGCCCCCATCCGCAGCTGATTCGTTCAGGGGTTTCTCGGGGCTGTCTTCTGGGTCAGTAATTCAGGCTTCTCCACAAGCGTCTGTCAGCACGGATATGCGGCGCATACCTCACACCAATATTATCGATTTTGGACAACCAACTGGATCTACACAAAGTGGTGTAGGTGAACTAGAACCCAGTTCGGGACCGGGAGCATGGTTCCTTGAAGAAGATTTTGATGTCAGTGCGCTTGACTTCTCAATAACCTCTACCATCTCGGAATGGGCGCAAATCCCAAATGTGTTTCCTGCTGCGAGTCTATCTACGGGGGAGAATGATGTTTTCACCCCTATTCAAAGCTCTGTCCCGGGCATTGAGGCTACAAACACGGCCGTGGACACAGTCAAACGAAAATGGTTTACCCATGTATCACCATCTGACGAGAATCGGCCCAATCGAGAAATTGCTATCACAGGAACAAACTGGCCAGGACAAACGAGTGCGAGTGAGTCCTATCGAGCTGGCCTATCTCAGAAGCTTCGTCGACCTATGGAAGATGAGGCATTGCCGTCTTCGGAACAACTGAACCTTTTTGCCAAATTATACTTTCATCGCTTTCATCCTTTATTACCGGTCATACATGCTCCCTCGTTTCGGCCAACGGCGGAAAATTCTCTATTATTCCTGTCTATTTGCTCGGTTGGGAGCTTATTCGTCGGGTCTGCCCGTGCAGTGGCTCAAGGCTCACGCATATTTGAACGGCTAAACAAAGCCATTCTAGCATCATGGGAGTCCTTCCTGTCAGAAAGTCGGCCAGATGCCCTATCTATGGTACAAGCTGCTATTTTGGGTCAAACCTATGCTATTCTAGCTGGAAAGCCCAAGTACCTTGTTCTGGCTGATGTATTACACGGGACAGTTTCCGCATGGGCCCGTGAAGCAAATCGACTAGGCGCTCTTTGCAGCCAGTCACGAGATATCCTCAACAGTGCGGACATTGAAAGAAGCTGGCATCGATGGATTGACAACGAACAACGTGCTCGAGTTCAAGCCGCACTGAATATCCACGACGCTGAGCTTGCTGCTTTGTACCACCACCAACCAATTCGCAGTCACAGATTCCGCCAGTTTCCTCGTCTGGCACCAGATGAATTGTTTTCGGCACCTACTGCATCTAAATGGGCCGCAATTCTCTCTCAATCTCTTCATTCCCAGAGTGAAAATCAACTTCAAGCTCAACTCTCTCAGTCTTCGGATATATTCCCAGTCACGGGCTATGATTCTAGGTTCACTGCATATGGAATCCTTGAAGGAATCAGCGCTCGCCTCATAGATGCTAAACAATCCAAAGAATTCAATCACATAGTCTGTCAAGATACCTCCAACCTCTTGATTCAGTGGTGGCAGACATACCATACGATGGATCAAGATCCATTTTGTCTACCTGTGTTGTGGCATTCCATTTTCATATCCCTGTACGCGGACATGGACATCTTGGAACAAGCAGTCGGCCGAAACGGCCAGGCTCCAGCCATTGAAGCATCAGCATTGGCACGAGAATGGGCCTCTTCTCTGGATGTAAGCCGCTGCCTTGTGCACGCATCGCTGATTGCCCGGTATCTCGAGCGCATGAGTATATCCGCCGAGCCAGCAATACATGTGCCTCGTGCGCTATTTTCAGCGGCATTGATATACTTGTGTGTTGCTCAGTATGCGCCCAAACATGTCATAAGTGCGGAAGCATTTGCGTCGCCAGAGGTCAAGCTGCTGGGTGATGGGGCTGCGGAAGTTGCTTGCTTTCCCGGGATTGCTCAGAGTAGTGAGCGTTCCGTAGTTGCGGATTTGGATCAATTGTATGGCATGATTGACTTGCTACAGAGGGGTGGACGTTGGGGTATTTCACAAGCTTTTGCGAATGTGCTTTCTACGGTGCTAGATGAGGGCAAGGGTGGTGCTTATGGATAAATTGGCGGTTTTGTTAATGTAATAGGCCCAGTACAAACTACCAATCAATCGCGGTATAATCAAATGATTCCACCTACAACACTTAGCTGCTTTTTCGGATTATCAAATGCTTATATATCGACGACTACCGATGCTCACATCCGTTTTGGGATCCGTTTTTCACCCCCCAGCATCTTGCGGGGTGAGGCTCCACTATGTGGGACTGTAGCTCTACCCCGTAAAAACAGCCCAAGTCAATACATACTGGTGGTTTATAAGTACAGCTATTCTTCTTTCCAAAGATGCTAAATAGCTGTGCTTCTAGCAATCAGAAAAGCAATGCCGGTCTTCACTGAAACTTCCTCGTCATCTCGGGACTTGAGAGTCCTGCCATCATTTGCACCACCACTTCCTCGACTGGCAGCCCCATTCGAGCGCAATGATAAAAATGAAGAGAAATACGAAGTAATTGTTGTCGGCGTATGTGATCTCCAATGCCCCCAATATTAGCACGGTGTTCAACCTCGGAACGACAATAAACCCTAATATATATATCTAGGCTGGACCAGCAGGCCTAATGCTAAGCCTGCTCCTCTCCCGCTATGGCCTTAGCGATACATCCCTCCTCTGTATCGACGCAAAGCCAAGCACTCTGAAATCTGGCCAAGCAGACGGCGTGCAGCCCCGCACGCTGGAGGTCTTCAAATCACTCGGTATCTCAACCGAGATCGAGGAAGAAGGGTGCCAGATGTGGCAATTCGCATTCTGGAACCCGTCTTCTGACCCAAACAAGGTAATTGAGCGCACATCCGTCGTGCCAGAAGTCATTCCCCCAGCGCGGTTCCGGTACGAGGCTACCATCCACCAGGGGCGGATCGAGCGCATTATGGAGACCGATCTGCTGCGGTACTCCGAGCGGGGAATTGTGCGGGACACGAAAGTTGTGGATGTCAAAATTGACGAAGAAGGTGACGCTGAGTTCCCAGTGCTTATAACTATGGCTACGAATGGTGTTGAGAAGACAGTGCGCACGAAGCATCTTGTTGGCGCGGATGGAGCGCATTCGGTTGTCCGGCAGTGTATGGGCCTACGGCTGGAAGGAGAGTCATTGGATCATATCTGGGGTGTGGTTGATATGGTTGCTGAGACCGATTTCCCGGATATTCGTCGCCGCTGCGGTATTCATTCCCCTGCTGGCTCCGTTATGATTATCCCCAGAGAGAGAATCTCCACGGGCGAATACCTCACTCGGCTTTATGTTCAGGTTCCTGGGGACGTGGCTCCGGAGAGTGACCAAATTCCGAATGGAGCAGAGAGCATTAAGTCTGAGGATGCTCGGCAGCGAAGAAGTAAGATTACCCTCGAGGGGATTTTGAAACAAGCTGCCGACGCGATCAAACCGTACTCTCTCCGACCCAAGGAGAATGCCGTCGACTGGTGGGCTGCTTATCAAATTGGCCAGCGTGTCTCTCCTGAGTTTATTGTCAATGATTCAAAGGGGATTGCAAGGGTTTTCATTGCTGGAGACGGTAAGTTCCCTTTGTAGAAAGTGTATGGCCTCAAACTAACATGAATCATATATAGCCTGCCATACACATAGTCCGAAAGCAAGTCTCCGTAACAGCTCTTTTCTTGTGTATATTACTAACTTCTATTCTACTAGGCTGGCCAAGGCATGAACGTCTCAATGATGGACTCCTACAACCTAGCCTGGAAGCTCATGTATCAAATTAACGGGCTTGCACCAGAACCAGCAGGACCCAACAGTCCATCCCCATTACTCGATACATACCAGACAGAGCGCCACGAAATAGCCCAACAGCTCATCGACTTCGACCGGAAATTCTCTACCATGTTCTCAGGCCAAATGGGCGCAACTGAAGGACTGACAGAAGAAGAGTTCCAGCAAGCCTTCAAGCTCGGCAATGGGTTTACCAGCGGCTGTGGCGTGGAATACCCAGAGAACATGTTGGTTATTCGCGATGAGCTAGACGATATCAAGAGCAAAGGTCCAAATCCTGTCACAGGAACGGACTATATCTCCGGTATCCTGAGACCAGGTCGGAGATTGCTCAATGTCCGATTGCTGCGGCATGCTGATGGGTGGGAGCGGGATATTCATGACGGTATGTCAAATCAGATGGAGGATTTAGGTGGGACATGACATCTAACCAAATAAATCTACAGATATGCTCTCCACTGGCCGATTCCGAATCATGTGTCTCACATCGACCGACCTTCTTGATCGAAACAGTATCTCTGCAAAGGCACTGGAAGCAGTCACTCTGCTAGAAGCGCAGTTCCCCAAGTCGATTATTGAGCAGATTATTCTGCATCCCCGGTTGCATCGGTCCTTTGAGTGGGACGACGTGCCGACGTGTGTGAAGCAGCAGGCCGAGATGCGCTTCTATGATGGGTCAGCTTTGGATGATGCGTATAGTATCTATGGTGTAGATCCGGCGCAGGGAGCATTGGTAGTGGTTAGACCTGATGGGTATGTTGGTATTGTTGCTTGTCTTAGTGACGTGCAGAGGGTGGGCAGATATCTAAAGCAGTGCATTCGGACTGTCTCTCATAACTAGCACCTGTCTTGGTCTTAGCGGAAACTTGTTGGTAGAAAATATATCAAAGTTGAATGAAAAGATGTTTTGTGTTTTTTAACCAAATTTGGATGCGAATTTCCCGGTCGGGGGGCCCTCTACTCACTGAATACCTAGGTACCCCAACCAGAAGCCCACCCAAAGCAAGATGCCATAACCTTGGAAGTGATAAGCATAAATGTACTGATGAGTCAAAGGCCCTTCACTGGCAGGCAGTACCTCGAGCTCTGAAGTGAGTGTCTTCGTAACGCTTTTCCCTAATTTCTGTGTTCGTTGACTTCTCTTGGGCTCTACGGTTATTTTCACAGGCATCATGTCGGAGGCTAAAGGGGGATAAGCCCATTTTGTTGGATGTCTACATACTTAGCTTGCCGGGGTCTTGAGCCACGACAGCTGGTTGGAAAACGCCGAGGATGACAAATTCAAAATGGTCCGACTGTTTCGAGCGACTGTTTCGAGCGACTGTTTCGAGCGAAAGGCCGTGATAGCGACCAAATTTTTGAGAAGCATTGGCTCTACAACATATCCTGTCTCTCCTCTTTTTCTATATCCCCTGTCAATCGGTCCAACCGTTACCCCGAAGGTCCAACTACTCTGCCACCTTGATGTCTTAAATTCACCGATTAATTGTCTCTCAGAGCTTCCAAAGAAAAAGAAAGTCAAAATGGCAGCAATGGTTGTGCGAATATTCACGGCATTTGGCCCCCCAAAAGTCGAAAAGCAGAGCGATGCTATCCGTTTCGGCATTCTAGGGGCGGCCCAGATTGCGTGAGCTATATTCAATATTTGAGCTTCGGAACCACGCTGACCTTTAATCTTAGACCTCTTGCCTTAATCACACCGGCTCTCTCACACCCAGAGGTTATTGTGCAAGCAATCGCTGCTAGAGATCATGCTCGTGCCTCAGCATTCGCCAAAAAACACAACATCCCCTATGTTCGCACATCCTATGACGGTGCGCTGAACTCAGAGCCTCACTAGAGGACTGCGACTCATTGTAGACAGAAATTCTCGAAGACCCTAAGATTGATGCAGTCTTGATTCCTTTGCCTAACAGTTTGCATTTCGAATGGGCTGTGCGTGCCATTCGCGCTGGAAAGCATGTTCTTCTAGAGAAGCCGTCGACCTCCAACGCTATTGAGGCCGAGATTCTCTTCAACCTACCTGAACTGTCACAGCCAAATGCTCCCGTACTTCTAGAGGCTTTCCACAACCGGTTTCATCCTGCAGTGCACAAGTTCCGGTCCTTCATCACTCCTGCCGATGTCGTTCACGTCCATACAGACTCCATGATTCCAGGCTTGATGCTCAACAAGGACAACATTGGGTTCAATTACAAACTCTCCGGTGGGAGTATGATGATGCTAGGCACATATAACTTCGGCATCATCCGTATGATCTTCGACGATGACCCGGTAGAGTGTCTAAGCTGCGAACCTGGCATCTTCGGCGACGGCATCCACGACCAGTGCGATACTGACTTCAAAGCCAGTTTCCGCTTTCCGAACGGCGGCATTGCCGAAGCTTCCACCACTATGCGGGGGTCTATCCTATGGAAACCGTCCGAGGCCCGCATCACACACAAGGAAGTTGTCGTCGATGACAAGTCCCTTCCAGAGACACAGGAGATGCTACGTACCCGGGTGGTGACGCTGCACGGTTTTATTCACGCCGTTATCTGGCACCGTATTGATGTTAAGGATACCTTCGTTGTTCGTAACAAGGGTGACCGCACGCCGGTCAAGACTTGGACTGAATCTAAGTCGCATAAGGCATACAGCTACAAGGAGGCCGGGGGAGAGTTTGCGGATCTCCCCGGTGAGGACTGGTGGATGTCATATCGGTACCAACTTGAAGAGTTTGTCAATCGTGTCAAGGGGCGTTCCACGCAATATTGGGTTGGTGGTAAGGATTCATGGGATCAGATGAGAATGATTGACATGGCGTATGAGAGGAGCGGGTTGGGATTGCGGCCAACAAGTGCGTTCCGGTGAGTATGTTTTGCAAGGCCAAAATTTTGTTATTTTTTTGTTCTTGTTTGGCCTACAGGAAGAGTAGTAATACTGTCTATCGATCTTACTTGTCATTTGACTCTTGGGGCCTTGCTGCTATAGACTTGAACGTACTATCTCTTCTCCTTTACTATATCATGCGCTGCTACAAGTTGTGCTAAACATCATCTGGATTCTGGGCAGTCCTCTAACTGTAACAATCCCATCATTATTTTGCTTCTACGCCAATCATGTTTGGATCAAGGACAATTACGATCCAGCCCTTCACTGTTCGATTGATCAATCTAACCACTCTACATCCTCTTGGTCGCGCGAGCTCGCCGATACTTTTCTGGTGCCCCGCGTACCTAGTACTCTCGCACTCTTTGATATATTTCCAACATACAAAATGAGGCCAACTTTCTAGAAATCTTTATGCATTCACTCTTCTACCTCGATATATATAACCCAATGCGAAAATCATTTTGCGCAACCTAAAAGCTGATATATATATGTAAAGGGAGGCAAGGAAGACTATACAAGTCTATGTTGTTAGACCGATATCACCAAGCCATCATGCACTTTTCAACTTCCCCAGCTTCTAACCGCCAAGATCAGCATAGACTACCAAGATAAGAGAATATTTATATTACCCCTGTTTATACTAGAGGCTTTCATCAGTGCCACTTTCTTTGGCAATAGCAAATCCTTGGCATCCAGATCCATGGATGTGGAAATGGGTGACGTGATCATGTGGCGACAATGGAACCTTGGAAATACCTGAAAATCAACTTGATACCTCCATTCTCAACTTCCGACATTTACCACCGACGATCCTCAAATCACGGAAAGCCTGCCAGAGCTTCTGATAGTCATTATCGTGATTTCTACAACCTAACCCTGCATCTCGATATTATACCCTATGTTCCTTGAATGATAACTATAGAGGATATATAGTCCGTGTATAACCTCGGACCTCTCCATAATTCCTTTCCACCCGATCATCACTTGGGCGCGTAACTCAGTTGGTAGAGTGTTCGCTTTGCATGCGAAAAGTCCAGCGTTCGAATCGCTGCCCGTCCATTTCGTTTTTTGCATCCCGCAAAAGCAGTCGGATATCCGTTGGTAGGACTGACCATCGTATGTGTCTGTCAATCTGTTAGGATCTTGTTTCCTACGGGATATATCCTCCTCTCTTCTGAAGTTGGATAAATATCGGCGTTTTTTTTTTTTTTTTGGTTAGTGCCTGATTACCCAGGCTAGAACTTTCGGTTCTTTTGTAGGGGAGAAGGTTTTCCTCTCGCTCTTTGTTCTTTCTCATCCTTCAGTGCTTGTAATGCGATGGATTGTTTGACTGCGCTTCTTCATGGCGTTGATTCTGACGCTCCCCCCACAGCTGCATCAGCACTTTGAGTAGAATGACTTGCCGACTGTGTGAAGCAATTGGCAGGAGCTTGTTGAGACAATCCAAGAAATATCAATCTTACATTTTGGCTACCTGAAGATTAACAGAGTATGGAGTCACTTTTGATATGGAGGTCGAACACTGTCAATGTGTAAATAATATAAGATGTATACATGGGAAGTGAGACAATGTAAAAATACACATTTCATATACTCTGATGATTCAGAAGTCCATCAATAAAAGTGATGGAGTATAAGAGAAACTTTGTCCTCGGCGCTTGAACGAAAAAAAAAAATCTATAGTAAAAGAACGCCCTCTGAAAACTCCAATGCGACAAAACGGGTGACCGAACTCCGAGTGGGCGGGTATTTGTACAGCCGACAAAATTACTTGCACACAATGACAGGAAAAGTGTCTGTAAGGGGGCAAAAATGTAACGCCACGTGTCCCACGATATGTAGATACCAGCCTAGGAGGTGTTGCTGGATTTGGTAATGAATGCTCGAGCCAAGAGGGGATTCAACACTGCCCGTAGACTTGACAATAACATACTTGTTCATCAGGACAACTGCCGAAAATGATTAGTTTAACATTGCAACAAAATGTGGTCGGTCACAACTTACTATACCCCTTCCATCCCGAAAATGATATGCCACAAAAACTCCATCACTCTCCCCGACGAAGCATCGCTAAGTTCCGTATCTATAACCCATTGCCGGAACTTGATATAGTCCTCCAATGGACGCCTCCGTACCTGATCTCGCGAGAGAGCGAATTGCGCGCAGCATGCGGCGCCAATCTCAGCAGGCTTGCGAAGATACTTCTGGTCCGCGAATTCCTGCTCCGTGGACGAGGAAGTATTTAAAGGAGGCGTACTGGTGCCGTCGAAGACATCAAACCAGATATCCTCTGTGACATGACTATTCAAGCGGTGGGCGTCCTTGCAGCCGGGATTCCAATTGCAACGAAGATTCACATAGCCGTTCTGCTGGACGAAATCAAGGTTTAGGGTACGCATGGCTATGACATTGTCGTGGAGTGGCGCATCAACATGCCAGGCCATGAGGAAGCCTGCGCGGTGGGCGTGGAGAAAGACGATGGTCGAGGGGAGCGTGTCGTAGTTATCGATTATATACGTGAAGTAAGCCATGGACTCGTGGCCTTTGTTGAGCGGGGTCGTAAGGATGTTGACATCTAATCGTGCTTCGCGCGACGGGTTGACAGTATAGATTGCGCGTTGCCAGCTGTTTAGAGAGAAAGAAAACCAATTAGTCATGCGCCATTAGTGGGATGTTGGAGATCAAAGAGAGCACTCACTCAGGAAGCTCTTCTTCCACCCATTCAGTAGGCTCTTCTGCCAGCTTCGCCATAACGATCACCTTATCACCTGATGTGATCTCGCCGTGTGGGCTTGGAGCGCTATCATGGCGATCTAGCCAGTTAATCACGTATGCGCCAGCGCCATACTGATCGCAGATGTCTTGTAGATGCGCCTCGAGTAGATATAGTGAGAATAAAATGAGACCCAAGACGCAAAACCCTGCGACACGGAGTCCACCCTTCATTATGAATGAGGAATGAGGAATAGAGCTCCGGGAGGCTCTGCGGAGGGATATCCGTAGGTGCGAACTGGAAGTAGAAGATTCACTAATAAGCCATTGATGTATACTGTTTCCCATGTATAATAGTGATGCGAAATAAAAGGGCAAAGTGTTTCAAGATATCAAGACCCCCTGAAGGCAAACCCGAGAAAGGCCAAAAAAAAATGATACAGAATGATACAAAATGAAGGTGCGGCCGAAGGTCGAAATAATAAGGGAAGGAAAGAGGGGGCAAAATAAGGGAGATTGAATGGGATTGGAAGGATTGGCACTACAAACTGAGAATAAAGTAAAATAGAGGAGAATAGGGGAGCTTCTTTATTCCTGTGATTGTGGACTCGAACCTCCCAGTTTAGAAATGTCATACTCATATCATTGGCCACTTGGGAGGCGTTCAGGGGAGCCGCCCATGCGGGAAAATGAAATAATTATTACAGGCAATACTGTATCCACTTGCTTCTCACTTATTATAGTGGATTTTAGTACTACTCCGTATACGGAGTAGTATTGCCAAGTTTGGAGCTGATACGTAGAGCTACGAGTCCAAATCTGCGCTAGGTAGTACCTGCAGCTAGGGTAGCTGTACCTATAGGAGTACGTATGTAGCAAGGCTAAAAAATGCACACCATCTGATTTCATACACCTAGATGCTAATAGTCACGTGGGAATACCACGTGATATTTAATACGAGGCCCACCGCGGGGGAGGTATAATACTACGTTTTATATACAATTTTACCCTAGTGCATACTTAATTTTACTACTCCGTATAGGGCTAACACATATGTATGTTCTAGTAATTTTAAGCTATTACTTACAAAAATTTGATAAGGGATGAAGAGTCACCCGTGTGCTGAATTTGATATATAGTACATAGTGATAGTCATATTCTACTAGGCTATGTGATATCAATTTGCTAAAAGGCAGGTACTGTTTTGATTTGTATATAGGTCTTCGACTGAAGAAGCTCTGGATACTAGAGTAGTATCGCCATGTAGTAATAGTATAACACCATATTCTTATTTCCTTGGAAGGGATATCGGTTGGAGCCTTGGCGACAAAGCTTGGCTCTGGGGTACGCTTACCCCTTTGAAGGTAGAGTTTACGCTTCCGTGTAAAGATTATTTCCAAGCTGAACGCTTCCCATTTTGGATTGTATACTTGGTACTACGGAGTACTCTCCACCTAAATAGACATAAGCAACAACAGTTAACTTGCAGCTAGAATCCACCGTGGCGACACGCGTGTTTTTTCCGTACCATGGAAACGCACGTTGGGTTAGGGCCAAGTTATTTTAAAAAAAAGCTTTCCTGGCATGCAAGTGACGCTATAATGGTGATAGCCTTAGAGTACGGAGTACGTAGTCCACTAGACTATTTTTTGGTAGGCTCGTATCGTAGTGGGGCTGTCTCGCTTTAAACCAATTTAAATTGGAATACGGAGTTGCCTTGGTCGGCGTTGATCCTTTTTGCCGATACACAGCCTATACTTGGGAAACAAAGTAAAGTCAAACAGTTCGCATTCCTTTTGTGTTTCATAGAACGGACCCTGGAATGGTTCGTTGTTCTACGGCATACTATGTGGGGAGTGTGTGTGATTTGTAGTGTGGCTGTGACAGAATCAAAGCCCACATATTGACTGATCAGCGGTACTGCAATATTGGAGATCTCCGGGATGAAATGAGACTTTCGATAGTATAATATATAGCGATACTTACTTCGTACTCCGTACGGAGGATATATAAATGCCGAGGGAGTACTCCGTAGAGTAGATGAGAATGCAGTTTGCACTTGAGCGGGGGAGTCCTAATTAACTCAAGTGGGGAGCATTCAAGCGAGCCAATTCTGAAGGCCCGAGCGCATTTTTATTGTCATCCCAACAACCTTAAAAAACAGGGTTATTATTACTCTTTAGCCTATGTACTTTGTATGTTGGAATTGAATGGGAAATCGACTATAACTGAATCTTTGTACAAAGTAATTATGCCGTGTGATTAATATTATCTATTGGCTCGTTTGATCTTCATTGGATCTGGATCTCGGTGATCTCTCGGGGTTGACTCTTGATTTGGATCATCGTGTTGTATATCGTAAATTGTACTCGATTAGGAAGTCTCCATGGCTAATGTGGTGAATGCCCATGTGATATGGTCCAGGTGGTCTTGGCCCTGGCAAATGGGCCCCAAGCCCCAAGGAGAAGCCTAAACTAGTATATGGTACGGGGTACATCCCGAGAATAATGAAGTATTTCCGACTTTGGACCGACACCTACCTTTATAGGCATGTTTTCAGCAAGGTATGTATCTTGAAAACTGTAATTCCGTATACCTATCAAGATCCTGGATGGGGATTCATACAAGACAATGCTATTTGACATGGCCAAAAAATATTACGAACTGGTAGACTGGGCAACATATTTGTACGATGGCATAGCGCATTTGCCAGGTGAACCTTGTTAAATATGCCTTGTTTAAGACCAAAAGAAATGAATGACCGACCGGGCGACCTTGAAAGCCTTGCCAGAATTTATGGCTACTTATTTGAATAGTTTTACATTTAATTGAACGAGTGTGAGAGGTGTTAGGAGGGGAACTTTCACCGGTTGGCACCCTAGTGTCTGACCACCCACTTGCTACAAAAGATTATTAGGCCCCCAAAAAGGAAAGAGTCAAGGTAAACCAATGTAAAATGATCAACAGTAAAATAGACAAGTTTTGATACATTGCCAGAATACAAGTGTTGCAGTCCAGCTGCTTCTTGTATTTATATTATGCTAAATGGAGATCTTCCCCAGCTAATCACTATCATCACCATCCTCTTCATCGCTGACATCCTCCCCATTTGCAATCGCCTCCTCTCGAATTTTGCGTGCACGTTCCCGTTTCTTGTTCAGCAAGATATTCAACTTCTTTGCGACGTTGAAGACACCCCCGGTTCCCTCGCCACAGGCAGCGCACGACGGGGTTTTCCGGTACCGCTGCAGAGCACAGGATTCACAAAAATAGTGCCCACATTTGGTGATGATGGGTTCTTGATATGGTTTCTTGCAGATGAGACATGCGAATGGGATGCTCTCTAGCAATTCGTCCTCGTCATCCTCGTCCTCTTCCTCGATTTTGCCCGCGCCTTTTCGCTGTGAAACCACTCGCCCGGTTAATTGTTTGCCCTTGGTGTTGACTTCCCAGTCACGATCGAGCTCCCACCCTGCCTTGTACGCCTCACGAGAATGGAGATATTTACAACTGTCTCCGAAGCCACACTAATTTTGAAACGGGTTAGTTTAGATTCACGATAGACAGATGGAGGCGAGGGTATAACTCACGTAGCCAGTTTGTTTCCAATCCTTGCACACATCGGGGGCAAAATCCGTCACTGTGATGGTCCTAACGTTGGTTGAGGCTTTAATAGGACCGAATTTCCCTGGTGCATCGGGGTTCTTCTGAATGAAAGATTGATAATTGGCAGCGCCCTTGTATGTCCCGTCCGGTTGTGAGGCAGAGACTGGATTTGCCCGAGTTGTGCCAAGCAAGTTCTTCTCGCTCAGGTTCTCATCATACCAGTTAGAAGCTTTTGTGGCATCGTTGCTGGAGGTCAATGGAGCGGGAACTGCAGATGTAGGTTCGTTTTCTGCGCGCTGTTTCCTCGTCGCATTTGATGTAGATGATGCGGTGACAGCTGCATTCTTGCGTCGTCTCTTGATCCGTCGCCCTTCGTCGTCATCGGATGATACAAAGTCGGAGTCGGAGTCGGAAGCTGGAGGTGGCGTCGCAGGCTTCTTGCGAAAGTTGGCTTTGCCCTTGGAGCGCTTCTTGAAAGCGACTTGCGGCACCGCGTCTGCGACTTCGGTTTCTTCACCCATGTTTTGGTGTTGAGTATTTGTGAAGATTAGCCGTAGATGTTCAAGCAATTATGTCGGACACAAAGCTTGTAAAGAAGCCCGCAAGGTTGGATATCGAGGTGGACGGCCTCGAAAATGACTAAGCAGATGGCAAATGGATTCACCATGGGTCCATGGATACAAACAAGACAAACAACCTCCTCACCTTGGGACGCGTTTGATAGGGAAAATCGCAAACACAACCAGGAACCCGTCGAATCAGAACTTCATATTGTTTTTACACTTTTATAGTAAATTTAAAGGTCCTAATCTAGAATAAAGAATATAGTCTAGTATCGTAGATTCGTCTTTCCGTCCGGGGTGATTATCGATCGTGAATTTCAAACACCGGCGCCAATTGGCAATACCACAACACCATGTTAGTTCACTCTCGTCCTTCTCTTCCCTTTTCTCCCCCGCCGAGTCATCCAACTCGACCTATCCAATCACTCCCTACGCTCGCTTTTCCTTTTTTTCGTTCTTTTTCCTTTTTTAATTAGCTGTCTTTTTGTTTTCCCTTTGTCATTCATTTATTCAGACCCTTGAGGTCGATTCCTAAGGTTTGCGATATCTCCCTGCAGATCCCGAGCACTTTGTTGTGGTAAGTTGCTTCTTACGCGCCTGTCTGGCCAATCTCACCGGGAGCTCACTGATTCGTCCGAAGGTCCTCGGTGTTTGTTATTTTTATCGTGTGGCCTTTCCCCCCTCTTCCTTCCACGTCTTTCAACGGTGTGCTGTTCTACATCGCATCTAATCTCGAACACACCTCGAACAACATCTGGTCGCTGGTCGGCTCGGCAAAGATCTCAACGATAAGCATCTTGCGCCAACAGTCCTTGGCTGAGTGCGGCGATTCGGATGATGCCCGCGGCCTAGAATCAGGACAAAGATCAACACGCGAATTCTCGATATCTCAACGGTAACTGTGTCCTCGTAACCCAGAGGATTCAGATGCTGTTTGAGACTCCCGATTCCCAAATAATGACCCCATCCAACGCTGGGGCCACCGGATCATTTGCATCCATGGAAGACCCCTTTGTTGCGAATTCTGGAAGGCCAGCCATGTCTCGCGACTCTCACCGACACTCATCCTTTGATACACAGCTATACAGCCTAAATGCGTCTTCACCAGCACAGGCCAAACGGGCGCTCGAGGCCCACTTGGCGGAGACGGAGCGTCGACTGGAGGAAGCTTCAAGGCTTGGAACCGCCCTTATCGATCAGCAGAGGCAGATATCAGATCAGTTGAAGGAGGTCGAACAGCAGCAAAATGAGGGAGAGATGAGCCCGGAACTGCGACGTAAGCTTTCTGATTTGGAGAAGGAGTATAACGAGATTGGCCGTGAATCGGCACGTGCATTTTTGGCACCCAAACGTCTTGCTGGAGGCCCGGACGATGCTCAGCTGGGGAGTCCATCTTTTGATCAAAAGGTACTGCCTGGGTCTCATATCTGACTCTGGTCCGATTTCTAGTCGAACTAACATTGAGTTCTGGTAGTCACCCCTAAGTCCCGCTTTGTTCGCCAGTCAATCCACAAATTCCCCCAGCAAAGTCAGCGTTCCATCTCGCAAGCAGCGCAACCAACCATCAAACCGTGTCCACGATATCGAATTTGCGACTGAGATCTCTACCTCACTTTTGGCCCAGGTCCGCCAACTGCAAGCTCTTCTTGCAGAACGGGATGAGACACTCAAGTTTGTCAATCTGGAAAAATCGCGACTTGAATTGGAGGCAGAGGGGTATGAACAAAGAATCCGGGCGCTCGATGACAGCGAGCAACGCTACAAGGACGAGAACTGGGCGCTAGAGACTCAGGCACATGAGTTGATGGCAGCTGCGAGGGATGCCGCGGAACGTGAACAACGGCTCAACGGCACCATAACACAGTCAAACTCGGAAAAGAACGCTGTGGAACGAGAGCTGGAGGAGCTAAGACAAGCCAATGCGAGGTTACTTGAGGACCAGAGCCTCACGCAGAAGGCAAATGACGCTGAAATCCACCTATTGCGGCGGAATCTAGTTTCCGGCGATGCAGAGAAGTCCGCACTTCAAAAGAAGCTGCTGGAAATGACTTCTCAAAATCAGGAACTCGCCAAGGCAGTTGCCATGAGGCTCCGGGACCATGAAAACCAAGCCTTGAGGGATATTTCCTATGACAACGAGGACAACGAGCCTGAGCATATCACACCTGAAAGTTCCCCGCCACCATCCCCCAACAAGTTCACTCCTCGACACGGCCACCTTGAATCGGAAACCTTGAAGAGCTCGCTCGGTCATGCTCATCGCATGATCCAGAACCTTAAGAGCACAATTCACCGTGAGAAGACCGAGAAGATGGAGCTCAAGCGCATGCTGCAAGATGCTCGGGATGAGGTTGAACAACGTCGCCGTGAGAGCACTGTGCCAAACGGAACTAGCAAACGCCAGAAGACAAAGACGGATTCGTCCCGAAAGCCTCCCCGCCCAGAGCTTCTTGGCGCAGGCCGCAAAGAGACATCCTTTGTTGAGCTTCATGACACCGATTGGGAAGACAATGCCGGCCAAGTCAGTCCTACTCAGACCCAGACTAAGGCGATATCCACCAGAGGCCGCCCTCGCTCGGTATCTCCCGATACACCTAGCGACGTCTACCAGACAGCTACCGAGGCCGAGGATGGATTTGAAACAGCGAATGAGCGGGCAACCGCAACCGAGAGCGAAGAATTCCAGACCGGCTTGGAAAGCATGGCGGATGATAGCAGCGATTCAGCAGATCTTACCGAGACGGAAAACAACGTACAGACAACTCCTCGTAGGGGTGTGCCTTCTTCTCTGATCATAGCCAAACCTCGCGATCGCACCTCGTATCACAGCACTGCCTCGGCATCTTCCGATGAGGAAGAATATGATAGAGCCTTCGGTTCACCAAGCCAAATGCATATCTCTCGGTCCCGTGTTAGATCCAAACGCAGCATCTCTAGACGCATCCGCCCATCTGGAGAGGCCACATTCGCATCTACTAGTCGACCCTCGAGTTCACGCGAATCCGTAGCACCCAGCTTTGCTCCAGCTGCAGCAGCTCAAGAAGGCCAGAGCCTCTTTGCTGAACTTGCAGAGCTTGACAGTGCCGAGGACGATGAAGTAACCTCCCAGGCTTCGACACCGCGCATGGAACCTGCATCGGGTTCACGAAGACCCTCGGATGCAATGCTGGATGCACCACCTAAGCCCGCAATGGTGGATTCTGGTGTTATGACCGAACCTTGGGAGCCTACGCCTTCTATCAGCGCTGGCATTGTTGCTGGAGCTGCCGGTCTCGCTGCAGGAGCTGTTCTGCCGCATGCCCTTGCTGCGCCCCAGGAAACTCAAACAGCAGACCGGGGGATCATTGAGGAAACAAAGGAAACTTCTCAGGACAATGTCCATGCCCAATTTGATCTACCAGAGATGGGCATGGCGGATGTTTCCTCGCAAGAGACTACGCCTTCCGCACCTAAGCGACCTGATCTGAGTGTTTCATACATCAACGGGGGTACCACTACACCCGTGAAGCATGAGCTGCCCGCACCGGAAGTGCCGGAGATGACGATATCTTCGATTTCATCACAAACCACTCATCCCACTCAACCAACGGTTGCCGTACCTGAGCCAATCATCAAGCATGTTGATGTTATCAAATACGTGGAACGGGAGCCGGAGGTGCCCGAGCTGACCTTCTCCCCCATCACCACTCAATCAACTTCCCCTGTCCACGCAACACTTGCTGTGCCAGAGCCTGTCATCAAGTACGTTGATGTGATCAAGCACGTTGAGCGTGAACGTGAAGTGCAAGAGTTGGGCGTCTCGTCTGTCGCCGCTCAGTCGACAACACCTGTCCAGGCAATCCAGGCAACTGTTCCTGAACCAGAACCTGTCATCAAATACGTCGACGTAATTAAACACGTCGAACGCGAGCGCGAGTTCCCCGAGTTGACATTCTCTTCCTTCGATAATCATTCCACTGTTCCTGTCCAGGCAACGCTTGCTGTGCCGGAACCTGTCGTCAAGTACGTTGATGTGATCAAGCACGTCGAGCGTGAGCGCGAGCTGCCTAAGTTGAGCTTCTCTTCTATCACTACTCAAACAACCTCTCCTGTCCACGCAACACTTGCCGTGCCGGAGCCTATCATTAAGTACGTTGATGTGATTAAGCACGTCGAGCGCGAGGTTGATGTGCCCGAATTGAGCTTCTCTTCTATCACCACTCAAACCACCGAGCCAGTCAAAGCAACCGTTCCTGAACCACTGCCGCCTGTTATCCAGTACGTTGATGTCATCAAGCACATTGAACGTGAGCGTGAAGTGCCAGAGTCAAGCTTCTCCACTATCACCACTCAATTCACCGCCCCTGTACAGGCAGTTATCGCCAAACCAGAGCCTGTTATTCAATACGTTGACGTGATCAAGCACGTTGAGCGCGAGCGCGAGCTTCCCGACTTGACGTTCTCTTCTATCAGCAACCAGTCCACCACCCCTGTGCAGGCAGTTATCGCCAAACCAGAGCCTGTCATTCAATACGTTGATGTTATCAAGCACGTCGAGCGTGAGCGTGAGGTGCCCGAATTGACTTACTCTTCGATCACCACTCAATCCACTACGCCAGTTCAAGCAACTGTTCCTGAGCCGGCACCACCTGTTATTCAATACGTTGATGTTATCAAGCACGTTGAACGTGAGCGTGAGGTGCCGGCTTTGACAATTTCTTGCCTCGATCCCGCATACACTGAGCCTATTATTCCAAGGCCTCGCCTTGCTCCTACGCCGGCATTGTCATTCTCCTCTGTGCGCTCTGTGGAAACTCATCCAGTTAAGTCTATGCCATTTGTCATCCCTGCGGTGGCAGACTTCTCTACCCAAACCGAGCCGACAGAGTCAAAGGCTGCAGGGGCCGCTGTGATTGTTCACGAAGACCACCCTACTGGCGCTACTCGCAGCCGCACCAGCACAATTAACAGTGATCAGCTCGTTGGTGCTGGATTGGCCTTGAATGATATCTCTGGCAACGCCCTTGCTCCCTCTGCTAGACAGCAACCCAGTTCAGTGAGCATGGACCAAGGATCTCAGACTATCCTGTCCTCTCAACAGATAGATCAAATCCTTATGGACCGTGTGTCCGCACGCCCACTATCTGCCGACAGCCAGGTGACGGACAACTCACGAGATATTGCCGCAGCCCCTTACGTGACACCCAAGGCTCCGACGCGGCCTCGCCTATCACAAATTCAATCTGCGAAGTCAACAACACCGAACTCCCGTCGGCCTCCTAGTGCCGCTAGTCATACATCTGGTGCTAGTCATCCCCCACTGCCTCTCAATCACCAGGAAGCTATCATGGCAGCCGAGAAGAAGTCCATCGACATCGCTCCGCCATCTCCTAGCTCTGTCATGGGCCCTCCTCTGGCGCCTGCCTCGGCCTATCGCATCAATTCCCAGCGCCCACTTACGCCAAACGAACAAGCTGCGCGGGCCAGCTCTACAAGAACTGGTTCATCTCAGGCCAGAGTGAGGAGAGGGAGTCAAAGCCAGATGTCTCGACGATCCTCGGTCTCGTCTTTCGCGTCTGAGCTCGAGGAGCGTTTCAATATGGCCCCTCACACTAGCGCCATGCCCCAGGGCTATGGACCTAATACGGATCCGCGCATGATCCAGGCCATTACCCAAACCATGATTGGTGAATTCCTCTGGAAATACACCCGCAAGACTGGCTCATCGGATATGTCCACAACACGGCACCGACGATACTTCTGGGTTCACCCGTACACCCGTACTCTGTACTGGAGTACACAAGACCCCCAAACCGCCGGAAAAAGTGAACTCCGTACCAAGAGTGTGCCTATCGAGGCTGTTCGAGTGGTTGCCGACGACAACCCGTATCCTCCAGGTCTTCACTGCAGGAGCTTGGAGGTTGTCAGTCCTGGCCGACGAGTTCGGTTTACGGCTACGACGAGCCAGAGGCACGAGACATGGTTCAACGCATTGTCTTATCTCCTTTTAAGAGAGACCAACGAAAGCTGCGAGGATGGTAACAGCGTAATCCTCGATGATATCAACGAGTTCAACCCCCCTAGCGTCCGATCTGGTTCTCGTAATACAGCACGAATGTCGTTCTCATCTTACAATAGCCGCACCGCTCGTACCGCCCACAAGCAACAGCGGCGAGCGGCTTCGGCGATGTCCATGCGATCTTCCGGGACCCTCGGTGGGCGTGCATCGCCGGCTCTCAGCTCACCTGTAGCAAAACCAAGCTCGTCGTTGCAAGTTCCCGATGAGCGCCAACGTTCTTCATCAAGACTCAGCACCATCTCCAGTTCGATTCGGGGGTCCATTGCAAGCTTGAAGGGACGGAATGGTCAATCTCCTAGCATCAACACTGAAAGTCTTCATGACCAAGAGAGTGTCGATGATCTGAGACAAATGGCCGAAACCCATGATCAAGACCGGCTTGAAAATGTCCGCGCCTGTTGCGACGGAAAACACGATGTTGGATCTCTTTCCCGCACCAGTCGGTACAGTCCGAGGGTCAACCGCATCCACTCACCCCACCATCACTGAACATTGTCTTATGAGATTGACATTTGTTCGTAGGGTTTGTGGGCAGGTCCTCAACCCAGACTCGAGTCACTTATAAGATAATGACGACGAGTCTCCTTTTATTCTGTCTCTTGTTCAACCAGCAACCCTTCTAATAGTGTTTCCAAGTTATCTTCTTTCAACGAGCGTGGAATTCCTCATACCTCAAAACCGAGACTCAAACTGAATGACTCTTTGGTGATGGATTCATGGGCTTCGAAACTACGTGAATAGTTTCCCCCCAGCTTCCTCCGCCTTCTCTTCACCTACGATCTTTTTCTTTCTTTACTCTCTCTACAGATCTCAACTCTCCTTCCTGTCCCTGTTATCTGTCCTTCGTTCATTCGAGTTGGCGTCCTGCTGGAAAGTTTATCCCAATCTGAGACTGCTATTTTCCTATATTCTCCTTTTATGTTGATAATTTCTGTGGCCACTACATGCCGTCGTCTTTATACTGATCGGCTCCGCTCTTTCTTCCGGTATGACCATATGTTGAGTATTTGTGCTATTTGCACCACCAGGATGCTAGATATTAGTCTTATGTTCAATTTTGTTGGATTACGTCTGATTAATTCTGATATCGTAAGATGAAACGATCATCCGGGCATGCAATGATACACCTGGAATAATTAACCCCATTAGCATCCATTGGTCTTCCGATCACAAGTGTGACTTGCAAGGTTTATCAAACGCCGGAATCCCCGCAAAGCCTCCGGGTCACGTGGTGTATATCCGAGCCCAGTTCTATAAAATCTTCCTCCGTATTCTCTCCTCTCAACATTCATTTGAGTTCGTTAAATCTGATTTTTAACACCTCAGTCTATAATGTCCACTGAAAGCCCCCCGCCCTTTATCGGGCGAATGCTCGCAATGTTTGAACCAGCACATATCATGACTTGGGCAATGTCGCGTGAGTACAGACGCCGAACAAACACCGAACGGCATCGATCTCAATATATGGGATTCGACGTCCGTGGATGTCCTTTTGCTATGCTTGTATTTGCCCTATGATGTATCCACTTTTCATACACATTATATTACATATGTCGTTTGGACCCTCTATGTATTCTGTGTGATGTATCGTTTGCGCATTCCTCACATCAGCGCCAATGTCTCATCTTCCATGGATAAACCGGCAATGTACTCTGTACTAACTGCAATACTACAGACTACTTGAGAGTTTGCGCTGAAGCTGTCTTCAAAAATGGCCAGCTCTTTGCTCCAATTACCCAGACCCAGAGACTGCGTGATGAAGCATTTGGAAAATTCTGGATCGATTTCACCTGTAAGTCTCACACCTATCATGTCAACAAATCCAGAGCAGAGCATCTTGCTCTTAGCGATCTCTACAATATCAATGGAAAAGAAGAACATCCTATTGAAAAAAAAAATCAAAAAACAAAACAAAACACAAATCCTAACCAAATCCACAGCAATCCGCCAAATGAGCTCCGACCCAAACAACAAAGACATCCCCGAGCCAGTCGGCTCCTCGGCTCTAATCCCGCCACTCCTCCGCACAGCCTCAGGAGTCGTCCTCGACATCGGGCCCGGCACAGGCACACAGATGCCACTACTCACCTCACCAGCAATAACAGCCCTATACGGTGCCGAGCCATGCAAAAGCCTGCATTCCTCGATCCGCGAAAAAGCAGTAGCAGAGCAGATCTCATCCAAGTACCACATTGTGCCGACAGGCGTAGCAGCAGACGAACTAATCCCCGCCTTGCGGGAGACGGGCACGGGCGTCACGGATGCGTATGATTCCGACGCGCGCGCGGGCATCTTCGACACGATCCTGTGTGTGCGTGTGCTGTGCTCTGTGCCGGAGATGGAGCGTACGGTGAGCGAGTTGTATGGGATGCTTAAGCCTGGTGGCCGGCTGCTTGTTACGGAGCATGTTGTGAACCCGTGGCGGCGGGCGAAGGGATCGATTGTTGGAAGGGTTGTGCAGGGTATTTATCAGCTTCTTGGGTGGAGTTGGTTTACTGGGGATTGTTGTTTGAATAGGGATACCGAGGCGGCTTTGAGAGCTGCTGCTGATGTGGATGGTGGGTGGGAGAGGGTTGAGTTGGATAGGGCTTTTGAGTGGTCTGCTATGCCTTATATTTCTGGGGTTTTGGTTAAGAAGGGGGTTTAGGTTTGTTTGAAGTTGGTTGAATCGGTCATTTCTGTGACGAGCTAGGTACATATGTGTTTTTCATCAATTCAAATGGGTATATTTGTTTCTATCATAGTTTCACTCGTGTCAATGAGGTCGTTAGGGATAATTTGGGGGTTTGAGGTTTCGTTTCGGACAAACAGACAGCATAAGCTTCAAGGGTCTGTGAATGAATGCGTGGATTTCCACGACAGGGCTTGCGAGCAGTATTTTCGCAAAGTTAGAACACTTAGTTCTGGTTAGCCCCCGAGCCAAGTGGAACACGTCCCACCATCTAAAGCAGCAATAAGTGTTAGGGGGGTAAGAGGCTTCAGAACATGCGAGAAAGCGGGCTGGACTCTCGCAATTACAATCCCTTTCGGGATAGTAGAAACGATAGAAGACTATATAGTGTGCACTTGTGAATATCATCTCGAACGATAGTCTGTTTCTCCCGGGAACACAATAGAAAACTGCGCACTGCCTTGGCTTCGAGAACAGCACGATCGACGAGGGGGTTTCGGTGATCTGGCGGTTGCTTCTTACGTGAAGGTAGACCTCGCTGGGCACAAGAGCCTTGGAAGGGGATTCTCTTTCGTGTTATCGGGTTCGTTTGAACGTTGATCAATGTTGCCTCTTAAAACCTCATGCACGGCTTCTAGACAGTATTTCATTCGTTTGGCTTCGGTCGTCCAGCAGGCCAAAAGTCAAACAAATCTAATGCCTCGGATGTCCATGGGCCTTGCTCTTTTTTCTCGGTTCCGTTGTGGGCTGCGTGTAATGATCCCCCTGCTCGGACCTGGCGGGCAGTCAAGGCGGTCGGGTCAGATATTGATTTCCGCAAGGGTGAATCAAGAGGTCTTTTTCCAGTCACCCTTCCAATCGTGGAGGATAATTTGAACCCCGATGCATCCATCATCTCGTCGAAGATAAACTGGGTTGAGTTTGAAGGTGCAAACTCTTCGCTTGATGTTGAAGGATTACCTGAGGTGGCAGCTAGCCTACACATAGATCAGTATCGCAATCTTGGTTAATAAGCGAGAACACACTACCTAGGTAACTGTTGCTCCGGGGGTTCTGTGGAAGGTTCACGGGTAGCATTAGCAGGCGGTGTATCTGAGGTCGCCGGTGGAGTTCGTGAAGTGCCGGGCAGTAAAGCATTGTACATCAGTTTTCTGCGTGGCTTTCCGGTCCCCATACGTAGAGCTGTCGTAAGTGCTCCAGAGCGTGGTGCCGAAGATGGACGCGATGGAGGTGGCATGTTCGTTGGAGGTGGATTGTTGGCTGGGGGTGGTACGTTGCCTGAAGCTTGGTCATTTGCGGGTTCGATAGGTTTAACATAATTGTTGACTGCATGCACTGGCGCCTGTTGTGTATATCGACCAGCAGACGCCTGTATGGGTGCACTTAAGAGAGAGCCTCTTGAAACCGTCGGAGTGTCAGAGCTATGTGGTGGGATGGGACGTGACACCGCTGTTGGCTGATTTTCGCGGTTGATTGATGGCTGCTCCACACGCAATTTCGCTCGAGGCCTGGGTATTTCTGTTTCTGGGGGTACAGTGGGAATGGGACCTTTCAATGGGGGTCCGAGGGGCTTTGGTAGTTGCACAGGCGACGGTATATTTTTTGATTTGTTGCCTAGGGGCCTTGTAGGTTGGACACCCTTGGTGGCTGTACGGACTACCTCGAGTGTTGCTGGACTGGAGGTAGGTTCAGATGTAGTTGAAACGGAGACCCTTGAGAATGAAGGAGGAATTGGTCTCTGCGGCCGAGTTTGTGTTGACTGAACTGTCGGTCTCTGCTCACAATTTGTTGTGAGTATATCGGCCGTAGAATCATCCCCGGCTCTGGGTAGTTTTTTTGCCACGTGGTTTACCCTCTGCCTCGCGGTGAGCACCTGATTTGAATCGGTCAAATCAATAACCTCATTTTGGGCACGCGAGCCTTTCTCAGCACTTCGATTCACCACCGAGGATATCTTCTGTCGCTTCGGTGCTCGTTCGGGTTCCTGAATGATGGAAGTTGGTCGCAGAGGATTCGTTTCCTCGTATGGAGGCACCAAATGCCCGATTGGAGTCCTTTTAATGCCCAACAAATCGTTAAGTGAACGAAAGGGCTGGGATGAACCGGAGGAACGAATAGGCGTGGAAACGGGGGCTGAGGTGTGGGTAGAGGTGCGGGGAATTTGGGACAGGGACACCGGGTCTTTAGTCTGCGGCGACCCCTGGCTGGATTTCTTTTTCTCATACAAGGTTGTTATGTCCGTTTCAGTGGTGCCCATTTTCTCGGTCACCTCAATCAAGACGCCTTTGTCCAGCTCCATCTCGTCACCATCCTGTACTTCATCTGGGGAGCGCCAGTGATGATCGCCGATGAAATTCCCCTGATCATCGTATACCATGACCCTTTTGTTGAATTTATGATATCTTAGATGCCCATCGTGCCATCTTTTAGACTTTCGGCGTAGGTCGTGCGTGTACAAGCAACGAAACTTGACGACTGAGGCAGTGACCTGCGGGGACGTCGGGGGAAAACGTGTGGATGATGAGGGTGTGGACATCATGATAGCATTTTTGAACACCTAATTTGATCATCGCTTCAGGGCTGCATCAAATGAATTCGTGAAATGTAGTTTGAGTCGCGTCGTTCTCGCGTTGAAAGCGGAAAGTGATAAGCTGATAAGCAGAGATAAGGAATTCAGAAATCTGCAAACTGGAGTTCCCACACTAAATCTGCAATATATTCGAACTTTTCGCCTTTGATAGTCAAATCAGTCTCCTTAGGAGGGATTGCATATCGCAGGAATAGGAGATTGAACGGAATGATTAGAGGTGCGCCGGAAACTGTGACGTGGTCTCCAGCTTCGTTTTTGTGAATTTCTATTTCCTGAGACATTCGGGCTTGATTATTTGCATAGTCCCACTCCCATTTCCCAATAGTGATAATAGCGCAGTTGCGATTTACTTTCACTGTGAAGGCAATATTCATGTTACCCCTTTCGGGGTCAACCCAAAGCTCAACGTCTCTATGCAGCTTTGCCCTAGTCTCTGACATTGCCACTTCTATCACAACTGTAGGTCGTCTTCTAGGTTGGCCTAGCGGGGGTCTTCTAGGGCCCCATCCCCAATCAGGCTGTTTAGATATACCATCGACATCGATATCAACTCCTGCATAAGTCAAGACTTTTTCATCCATACCCATAGGGCGAAGTACGTCGTCGATGGCTAGATCAAAAGCCCTGACCACTGTGTGGTGTTCGTGGGTGACCATTTTCACGATCAAAATATTCGTTCTTGGATTAAACGTAGTACGGATACCACGAATTGGGGTTTCTGTATCACTAAAGTCGCGTCGAAAGGTGAAGGTGTCGATTGAAAAGACAAAAAATTCGGCAGTCAGATATGAATGTCGTTGAAAGCACTCACGTTCAAATTGAAGGGTCCGAGAGAAGTGTTCTTTCCCTTGATAGACATACCGTCTAACAGATGGAGGTAGACCCTCCGAGTCGTAGTCAGATCCATTTTGATTGAATTGAGACATTCTTGACTACATATTCGTAGGTACCTAGGTAGTGGTCAATTAAATATAAGGATTATCAAAGATCAAGTTGGCAACCGGTACAGTTGATGGAATGAACGATGATGGTTATACGTAAGACAGACAGAGTCGGAGTTGAAGGCCTTAGGCATCAATATTTGGAAATATCGAGGGTAGAAAGACAGGTAAAATCTTCAATAGTTTGTGAATGACACCCGATAAAGACCTAAAATTTGGGGCAAGATATTTAACAAGCAAGAATCCTTAGCCATCAAAAGGGATCGGAACAAAATATATGAGAAAATCAACGTGCTGAGAATGCATCCAAAAGAATATTAGAGATGGCGATGAGAGGTTAGTCAATTGGTCATGTCTTAGTTGGTGATACGATAGATCGATATCTTCGCTACATTGGACATCTAAATTAGACCTCTGATTATTCGTTGTTTTTGTATCTCAGCTGACTCCCCGGTCAGTCTCACTATTGTGGTCTCTGCGGGGTAGAATTTTTTTCAAACCTCGTCTAACAACGCTGTCCACACCTATACCAAAATACTTTCTCAACAGGGGTATCCACTCGACAAACAATCTAGCTATTCCTACAAACGTCATGAGTACTCCTGTGACAGCTCCGTTTGGCCAATGGAAGAGCCCGATCAGCTCTACCTTGCTTGGCGCTGACGGTGTTCAATTTGAATCCATCGTGGTATGTTCAATATCAAGGTGGCTCATGTTGCAATTTTTAATGATATCTCCAGACAACAAATGGAAAGGTTTATGTCAATGAAAGTCGCCCCAAAGAGCAGGGACGAAGCTGCATTGTCGAATACTCTGGTGGTGAAGGACGCGATATCTTACCGGCCAAGTACATACTTGAGATCTAGCAATGCTTGAAACCGCTTCTAATGAGAGTTCACCAGATATGACGCTAGTACCAAAATTCATGAATATGGCGGCGCATCGATGATTGCTTCCAACGGGCATATCATCTTTTCTGATCGAGCGACACAGGATCTGTATAAGCTTGACCCCTCCACAGGTAATGTTGAGCAGGTCACCAAGACAGACACTGCTCTCCGCTATGCATGTACCTCGGTTATGGGCTCTTCGTCGGATAGCGATGGCCAGGCAGATTCGGGATGGCTATTGGCGATCGAAGAGGACCACACCAAGCCCTTGCCGTCGGAAGTTCGGAATCGACTCGTTGCGATAAACATGCAATCCAAAGAGATAGTCAACGTCGCCTCTGGCGATGACTTCTACAGCGCTGCTCAATTTTCTCCCGATGGCAGCAGGGTGTGCTGGAACCAGTGGTCTCATCCAGATATGCCTTGGACAGGAGCCCGCCTATATGTGGCTAAGTGGAACAATGGTCAGGTCACCGATGTTCACCATGTGTCTGGTGTGCCTAAGAAGGAAAGTGTTAGCCAGCCACGATGGGGCGTCGATAACACATTATACTTCACGAGTGATCGTTCGGGGTATTGGCAACTCTATCGGTATCACTTTGATACTTCAGAATGCCAGCGAGTGGCCCTACATGGCCTGGAAGAAGTGGACTTTTCTCAGCCAGACTGGCGTCTAGGAAAGTACGTTTGATTTCGACTCCAGGAGGCAGCCCTCTATTGTGTTGATGACTAACCTATATTTTCCTTCGCCAGCTGCACATACCTGTGTTTGAGTCCAACCTTGATGATCGCGTCGTACACAAAGAATGCTCGATGGAGCTTTATACGGATAGATCTGTCGAACGACTCCTGGCAAGACATGAATGTGCCAGTGACAGACACGATTATTCTAGCCGATACTCCCCTTTCAGACACGAAAATAGCCCTTCTTGGTTCCAGTGAGACAACCTTCAGCACTGCTTTTACATTGGACATCGCCGACACTATCACGCTCAATGTACTCAAGGCAGCTTCCGAGTTCCCCATGCCAAGTGGTCTTGTTTCGAAGCCCGAGCATATATCCTTTCCAAGAGTGCAAGGCAAGAACTTGGAGGGGATGGCACATGCCATCTTCTATGAACCTCAGAACCCAGATTATCTGGCACCCTCCGGAACACTGCCGCCTTTGATCGTCTGTGTCCATGGCGGACCAACCTCTCAAACTGGAACCGGCCTGAATATCACGGACCAATACTGGACTTCTCGAGGTTATGCTGTAGTGTGGGTAAACTATGGTGGTAGCTCTGGATATGGTAGAGCATATCGGGATATTTTGAACGGGCAATGGGGTAAGAATTCGACCCCTCTTACGGCAGATTCATTCGAAGCTCTCCCAATATTGACCAAATATCATTAGGAATCATCGATACAGCAGATGCTGCTAGCTGTGTGTCTTATCTTGCATCCACTGGCCGAATCGACCAAAACGGAATCGGCATTCGCGGTCAAAGTGCGGGCGGATACATCGTACTCCAAGCTCTTTGTGACTACCCGAATCTCTTCGCGGGTGGTAATTCTCTGTACGGGATAGGCAATGTCAGGACTCTCTGTGAGGATACTCATAAATTCGAGAGCCATTACGCATTCGCCTTGCTGTTTGATCCTGGTGCAGATGAAGATGAGAAAAACCGCATTTTCAGCGAACGCAGCCCCTGTCTCAAGGCAGACAAAATTACTGCGCCGCTGCTGTTGCTTCAGGGAGACGAGGATTTGGTCGTTCCTCTAAACCAAGCTGAGGAAATGGTCGAAATGATGACAAAGGCAGGTCGTGAGTCCAAGCTGGTGGTTTTCCATGGAGAAGGACATGGATTCCGGCAGGCAGAGAGTCGGATAACGGCTGTGGAAGAGGAGGAGAAGTGGTGGAAGAAAGCTCTGTTGAAGATGGATCCAGCGGACTTTTGAGACTATCACGACAATGTTTTTATGTTCCAGAATGAGTCGCCCTATAACTGATGCCGCAATTCATATTATATTATATTTGGAACATTCAGATATAAACGCGTTGTGGTTGGAATATCTATAGAGTATGAAAATAGTTTGTAAAAGGGGTTATATTCGTCAGTAAACCCCCCGTTATAACGAGTCAATTGAGATCAGGACCCAATTGAGACAACACGGTGTTTATGTAAGCACAAACAAGGGGAAACAACAGATACTACTGACAGGTCAGAAGGATCCGCCTGGTCTGATTTCTGGAGAAGCCGCGAACCAATTCTAATATAACTCGGTGACCATCGCCCTTTCAAGGCCCTACTTTCCCCCCTTTGCTCACCTCCCCCTTAACTCAAGGGAAACACTTGCTTCCATCGTGCTCTTCAAAATATTCCCATATCTCCCCTCATATTTCACATTATTATGGACATCCAACGCCAATTCTCTAGCGTGCACTGGATATGGGGAGGAGGTATCTCTTTCGTCTATGAGGTCGACCCTCGTATTGTTGTCAAAGTCCCAAAGTCAGGAGAATTTGAAAGGGAACAATTTAATAAAGAGCTCGAGATATACCGGATCTTCTCACAAAATATACCCTGTCCCTTTATCGTGCAATGCTTTCTCATTTCAGGCAACGGTATCTTCCTCGAGTATATGAGAGGTGGGTCCCCTATCAGCAGGCAGCTAACAGGTTTATCTGCTAATTACTCTAAATATATACATCGCTTTCTTATAGAATACAAGGAAATCATATTCGGGACGAGAAAACTATGGCGGTTACTAAAGGGAAAAATTTGGAGCCTCTACCCCTGCGAAAGGAATGGATAAACTATCTTGCTCAAGCTGTCGCTTTCTTGGAATCACTCAACCTCGCTCACGGTGATCTACGACCTGAAAATATCCTACTTGATCGTAACCGACTAAAACTATCGGACTTTGATTGTACGGCGAAAATTGGAGCGCAGTACGAAGCTTGTATGGCGCCATATGGCAGACAACTTAATGGCAACGAGACCGACTAAGGAAGGCGTGGAACTTCCGGCTTCCTTGGCTCTCGGACGGAACAGTTCGCCCTCGGTTCCTTGTACTATTTGATAAACTACGGATTTGAGGTTTATGGAGATCGATGCCTTACCGAGGATCCTTACGAGCATGGCCCTAAGGTCGTGGACTTGCTACAGGACATGAATTTTCCGGAAATTGAATGGTGATCCATTGATTGACAATATCATCGGCAAATGTTGGCATAACAAATATACCACGGTTTCGGAACTTGCCTCTTACACAAAGACTCTTTCCAACGAAATAACGGAAGTGGAGCAAAGCAACGGAATAGGAAGCGGAGAGGGAGGAAGTCATGAAGTGAGAAAGTCTATTGAGACAATATCCAGCGTGCGATGGCCTATATCTATAGGTCGCGTAATTCACAGGCTATGGTGTGGCCTTGCGGACTGGTGGACGTTGGTACCACATAGCACCAATGCCGAAGAAAAAATAGCCGAGCAAGCCAATGGTGACAGCTGTGATGATGTATATCAGAACCGCTTGGAAGAGGATTTCCTTTCGAAGAAGGAATACTGTCAAGACCTAGAGAAACGTGGACTGCTAGACTTGCTTTCTTCTGGTTAGCCTGAGCAGATTGGATTCATTTTCGATTGGTATAGGCACAGTAGCTAAAATGGGGTGATTGGATGAGATATTCTGCCGATGAATATGAGTGTTATAAATAACCCCAGAGTGTGTGTATTTGTTTTTAGTTGGATATGATTTAGAAAAAAAGCGTTGTATGGTCTTGTGGAATTTGATTGTCTGGTAGTTACTAGTTAATTACTTCTTTGGTTATATAATTCCTCACACTAGGTGGGATAGGTGTCTTTGTCCTTATTGGAAAGCAAAGACTTAGATACTAGTATAACGAATGATGTCAAAGTTGACTTCCAACGAAATAAGATCAAGTTTAATACAAGTCACAAATTTTGCTATTTGCTACAATCAAGTACAGACACGTTGACTCAATCCGCCAGCAGGTGTTTTATTCTCTATATGAGTCGTCTGCTAAAGACAGGGCAAGGAAATGGCAACTAAACTAAAATGGGACCTAGGACGAGGGCGCCATGCCTGAAATGGAAGAAGCCGCTACTGGCGGCCGCTAACTGCTAATCTCCATCGTTGCCTAATTCCGATTGAATTACAATAAAACAATCTACAACTACAGAATGAGTATATCCATGTACAAAGTAAAACCTATAGGATATATCTATCACGTGTAAGATTAGAGTATGTCAACAAGTCAAGTTCATGGATTTGATTTCAATCTCAACGTCTACATCCAGAACTCTCTCATACTGTTTGTACCTTAGATATTATAAGTAATGTGATGACTCACAAGCTAGCCCTCAAAATATACGCATATCCTTGTAAAATGGGCCCATGTGCTTCGTACTCTGTATGAGATAAGATGGCTACCCCTGATTTTAATATATAGAGTGGAGTAGTTCAGATCAACACACCACTTTCTTGAAATGTCAACACTGGGGGGCCGGGGCGAGAGCCGCATAAAAGGCTGAAACATTTCAGGTTTGGGGGCCGGAGTTATGTGTCATTGAGGGGAACATTCCCCCTTCCTTTGTTTTCCCACTTTACATTTTCCAAGAATTTGATTAAAATATTGACGTGGCTTGAATTAAGGCTTGTTACTTTCAAGGCGCCCGTGCGACACTTCCGGTTATCACTCCTATCTCCCCTTTCGAGTTCTCTAGCTGCTGAGAGAAGCCCTCACCCAACATGCAGAACATGACGAGACGCTTTGGTCGCATGACGACGAAGTCGTCTGCAGATGATAGCCAAATCGCTGTGCTCCTAAAAGATTTCGACGATGCAGACATGCTCCTGGGAAAGGTAGACAATGTCACCCCCGAAGACGTTCTGTCCCATTTGCTGATACGTGTTATTTGGTCAGATTGTGGAATCTACCCAAGCCTGGCGTGATGCCTGGGTCTCTATAGTAACTCATCAGAGTCGCCTTGTCGATGAATTCGATGGCCTCTACGGTCCCATCGTTGGCTCTTCAGAAACCCCATCCAATCACAAAGCCGTGGAGACAGACCCCATCAGATTAGGGCGGACAAATCGACTGCGGAAGGAATACGATGAGCTACGCAACGATCTCATAGAGGAACTGAGTGCTGTGGACACTCGCATGTCCCACCCGGCTACGCAAGCCAAGGAATCCCTTGCGCCAATGAAAAAGACGATCAAAAAACGAAATAACAAGAAGGTACACAATGAAGAATGACGGTTTTTGGTGGATCAATGGTCGCTGATATCTCAATTTCTAGACCGACTTTGAAATCTCCCAAGGGCGTGTGGATAGCCTGATGAAAAAGTCAAAGCGGACCGATCGCGAAAATATGAGCCTAGCCAAAGCGGAGGCAGAACTTACCAATGCCAAAGAGGTACAAATCGAATGTCTAATACTACTTACAGAATAAGAAACACTAATCCCTGTTCAGGCTTACCAAGCTGCTGACCATGATTTACGACAACGACTCCCAACATTGGTCGCTCTGATATTCTCCCTAACGCCATACATCCTCGAAGCACAAGTCGAGATCCAAAACCGCATGCTTGCGAACTATTACACGGTGCTTCATACTTACTGTGAAGATGAGGGATTTCCCTCCCCGCCACCAACCATGGAACAAGTTGTCCAAGACTGGGAGTTTGCCTTCAACCCTGTGCAAGGTGAAATAGAAAACTTCGGCTGCCTAACCCAAGGCAAGGCCATGCGCCGAGCCACAGCCGACCACGAAAATAAGAAACGTCCCTCAATCGGAAGTCGCCTCACCAGCACTGCCTCATCGGCCTCAGTCCCAAGTTCTTTCCGCCGGGGATCCCAAACACCAGGATCGTCGAGCCAGACACCCAGTGTAGCAGAATACCCTCCTTCTCCGCCTCTGTCAACAATTAGTCGTAAGAGCAGCGCAATTCTTGTTGGAAACACCTCAGCATCCAAGCCCCTCTCGACGGGCGGCGACTACTTCGATCCGCCTCGTCCATCATTCATGCCAAGCCCACAACCCACTCCCATTCCATCAGGAGTGGTGAGATCCCCCGCCGGCCCAAACATAGACTGTTTCCAGGCCAAGGTATCACCCATGGCTGCTGCCATAGGGAAGAAGAAGCCACCGCCACCACCGCCAGCTTCCCGTCCAGATTTTGTCACGGCGCTCTATGACTTTGATGGCCAGGGGGATGGTGACCTGGTTTTCCGGGAAGGGGACCGCATTCGCATCGTGCGGAAAACGCAAAGCACGGACGATTGGTGGGAGGGTGAGCTGAGAGGGCAGAAGGGACCTTTCCCTGCCAACTATGTTGAGTAATGGAAGATATTGAAAGATATGGAGAGGCTTTGGCTTATGGAACATGCATTAAAATGATGCATCGGGGGTTCTCTGACTGATCAACCCCTGCGCAGATTCTATCCAGGTACACGATTAATGAACTTTTTGTTTTTCTCCTTATAATTTATTCATTTACTCATATAATGCCTAATTTTGTCGAGTCTGCCAAAGTTGCATAATGGATTCTTTCGTCCCGGCAAGATCAGATCACATGCGAGATCATTGTTCCCTGATTAGCAAAAAGAGTTCAGCATCAGACCAAGACTCATCTACAATGCAAGTTACTTGAATGGATAACGTTTACCGACAACTGTAAGGGCTTTGTTCTTTATCTCTTTGATCCTGAACTGGATGCAGTGAAAGACCTCGAGGTCTCGTTCATTGTACTTGATATTTGAATATCGGATACTGTAGTACATGGTCAAAGAATCAACAAAGGGTTTATAACAATCTTGGGTTCAAAGACTTTCTTCTCAGTTCAAAGACGATCTCTCGATAGAACTGCCCCATATCCCATTTCTCGTACTTAAATAGCCACGGATTTCCCCGTCTAGTCTCTACCATCACACACCATCAGACAGAAAACCATTTTCCTAACTCACATTTTCATCCAAACCAGACCAAACCCTAACACCCTCCCCCCTAACAGCAATCATTCATTTCAAATCTAGAATCCCGCGGCTCTCGAAGCCCAAAGCCCCCCCAGCCATGGATGAAGCACACCGCGAAGCCTTGAGAAGGACCCGTACTATTTTCCGCTCAAACGGCAAACCTCACTACGAGGACCTCCACACTATGCCGGAGCTGTGGTGGGTCTCAGTGAAGCTTACCGATGAGCAGCGCCATGCTACCGACGACCAGTTGATGGATATTGTGATTGAACGTTGCCGCACTGGAGACTGCAAGGTCACTCACTATGATTCCATGCACCAGCAGGAGGCCTTTTGGATTTCGTTCCCGGTTATGAACCCTGACCAGGATCTTGCAGGGCGCGGCTGGATTGTCCTTGTTATGGGGCTTGCTGAGCACTACCAGATGGAGATTGCTGCCGGACGTCTTTCGGTCGATCGGGATTATATTTTCGGGGCTAGAGATAGCTCTTAGGTACGTCGTGCGTAGTTGATTGGTTCTTGTTACATTGATTTGGACTGTTGAGTTAGTTATTGTTATATTGCTTTTATCCTTTCTCTATCGTATCCCAAATTTAAGTGAAATTCATATCATGGTTTTTTCTTCAGCTGTGTTTCCCGTCTGTTCCACTCCTCCATAATGTAAAGCATAATCAGGTTGATGAAATGTAAAAAGAGGATTTATTATGGGAAAGGTGTATATTGTTGAACTTCAAGGTGCTTGGGGGAAGAATAGTAGATATTGAAATGAGATGATGTGACAGAATATAAACATCTCTTTTCTCTTTATAGAAATTAATTCTGAGTCACCCAACATCAATCGCCCGGGTGGTCTAGTGGGTAAGAAGCTCTTCACCTCCATAATCAAACAAGTTCATTTCACTAACAAAAACACAGTATGATTCGCGCTTAGGGTTCACCCAAAGCAATATTGCGCGAGGTCCCCGTCAATCCCGGGCTCGGGCCCATCTTTTTATTTTATTTTAGTTGTCCTTCAAAATGCGTATTCAACAAGCCTTTTGGTATGTCCCTTTTATTTTTAAAAACATACGCTATACTTCCCATTAGATTAGTGTTGACCACATGATCCAGTCGATGTGATGGCGACTTCAATGGTATGTTAAGAATACTAGCAGAAAAAGGTAGCTTAAAATGAATTTCTAAGAACTATACGCACCATTATTCTTTGGTGTACATAGGCTTTTTTTTTAAAAAAAAAGCAGACGTGAATTTCGGGGATTGATATGGCCCCTTCAGTAAATATACAGTAGTTTCTGCTCTATTAACTGCTATGCTCTTCCTCTACCCAGAGAGCACAGCACAGCACAGCCTAGCGTTTGGCAAAGCCCATGAATAGGCCCGAACCCCGGCCCCAAAGCCCAACCAGCAGTGGGCTATGGGCCTAATTTTCGAAGCCTAGCCCAACCCACAGCCCATTCGTGGGGGCCCATAAGGCCCCTAAAGCCCATTAAGAGGGGTTCAACCAGCATCTTGCAATCGTTATACGATATTGTATTCTAACCCTTCTGCTACTTAGGTAGAGTTTAAATTCAGAATTTAGGACTGTACTAGCTATATAAGTATATATTCAATTTTGAATAAAAATCCGACCAGTAGAGGTCGAGATACTACGAAAATAGGTTAATATTGTTACGAGCCAAGTCTTTCTGATGAAGAGTGCTGTCTATCAGAATACTAATCATAAGGAAGGAAAAGAAGAAGAGAGCAGGAGACAAAATGTACAAATTTTTTCTGATCAAAATGCAGGTATTTTTGCTGTGTAAACCAGAATTAAATATAGTGAGCAGAATATATGGCAGTATAAAAGTGGAGCGGCATATTTTATGGCAGAATTATCGGCCGCGCCTAATTGGGAAGACGGTACTGAAATTTCAGGCAGGGGGGGGTCAGATCTAGGTGTCGACTACTCCGTATGGTGGAAATGTATGGGTCCAATCAATGGTATTCCACTCTCCGTATTGCTGTATTGACTTCCTGGCAATTTATACTGTCCTGATTACATAAGAAATATTACTGCATACTTAGGATTAATAAATCCTCCGGTATCCTGGTGTATCTGCGCCGACACACCCCCTCAGCGGTCCCAGTATGCTTGCTGAGATCGCTGTATCATCTTGTAATTCCTAGTCTATAAGATGGCCTATATCAACCATGTTGAGCAGTCGCACGAAGCTCTCATGCTTTTGCCGAGTGAGCAATTTGGTGAGGCCATCAGCAACCATGCTTGCTGTAGGCACCCAGCGCACCCGTATTCGACCCTGTTGGACTTCCTGGCGGAGCCAATGGTGGTGAATATCGATATGTCGAAGCTTCGTTTCAAAAGCTGTGTCCTCGCTTGTCAATAAGCTGATAGTCCTCTCGTTATCACAGTCGATTGTCAGGTGGTGTAACGGAGTAAAGGCGAGGTTTTGAAGCAATCGGCGCCACTATTGGAGCTGCTTTCCTGCCTCCGATAGGCCGAGTAGCTCTGCTTCTGTGGTTGACGTTGTCACTGTGGGTTGCTTGCTTGCTTTCCAGTCAATTGGACCGCCGTATACTTGACAGATATACCCAGCTGAGCTTTTTCTATCCGGGTGGTCTCTATACGAAGCGTCACTTGCAAACTGCACCGAGTCGGTCCCAGTATTGGCTGTTCCGTACTCAATCGCTAGGTTCCGGGTGGAGTAGAGGTAGGTGATGACTCGATCAGCTGCTTGCTGGTGCTGTGGACCGGGGTTCGTGAGAAATTGCGCGAGCTTCGCGGTCGCCTTTGCAGCGTCGGGCCTAGTGATAATGGTGGTATACCCTGCTGAGCCCACCTTTTGCTGGTATAGTAGGATTTCCTTTGGCGTTGCTACCCCCTGAAAAGGGGTCAATTCCTTAACCGGCAGTGGAGTATAGACTGGTGCCCTTTCTGTCAAGTGATATCGGGTAGCAATGCTTATTATATAGCTATCTTGATATAACCAGAGCTTCTTTTGTTACCGGTCTCGAATGATTCGTATGTTTAGGAACTATGCTGCTTCTCTATGATCGGTCAGTTCCCAGTGTGCTTCGAGATCTCGCTCTAATTGCTGTGCCTACGCCTTTGTATTAGTATGACTGGCGATTAGGATATCATCTATATAGAAGAAAACTAGTAGTCCTTTTCCTATAAAAATGTATAGGTCTTCTGGCACTTGCTGTAGACCTAGCTTGCGGAGCACGCTTGCTGCTTCTTGCTGCTAAAGTCGTGGTGAAATCCGTAGACCGTATAGCGCGCGACGTAACTTCCAGTATTTACCTAGGTTTTGAAATCCCTTAGGTATATACGTATACGTCTCTTAGTCTAACTTGCTGTTTAGGAACGCGGTGACAGTATCTCTCTGTCTTAGGTCAAGATTAAAGGCAGCAACTAAGGTAAAAATCATCCTCGCTGTCCTTGCTGCTAGCGTAGCAGCTCTCTTTTCCTCGTGAGAGATGGTTTTAAGGTCTCCGCGCACACAGATACGGGCCTTAAGCTTCAAAAGGTACCCGTCCTGGTTAAATTTGTATAAGAACACCTATAAAAGAGGGAGAATCTGCTTCCTTCGGTCTCTTGGTTTCTTAATAACCTCAAAAGTCCCCTTTTCAGAGAGGGAGTTGATCTCCTTCCTTATCGCTGCGAGAAAACCTTCCTGAAATAGGTGGTTTATTATATCCTTCCAGTATTTTGGCGGTGGTGGGAGGTCGTCTCGGTGGCGGCGAGTGTCTGGTTTCTCAGCGTATAAGCCAGCGGCAAAAGTATAGAGTAGCGCCGGCGGTTCCACTTCTTGGGTGGTGCTTGTCGCGTAGGCGAAGTCTTTTTCCTACCTTACTTGGTGTCTACGCCTACCACTGAGTATATTGCTGGTATCTATATCTCCGATTATCTCTCTTCTCGGAGCCAGTAGCTCTGCCTGAAGTTGCTTCTCTAGTTCGTCTTTAGTGGTTTTAAGATCCGCTTCTTCTTACTGGATCTGGTCCCTTTGATCTCCCTCGGTATCTACCCCCTGACCAGAGCCAGTATACCTCTCTTGCTCCTGCGGTGGGGTGATTGGTAGTGGTGGTAGGGGCTGTTCAATCGGAAAGGAACCTGGTAGTGCTTGTGGTGGAGGGTCTGGGGTCGGCCAATATAACCTATCACCTACCCCCTGGACTGGGGTAGTCCCTCGTTGGTTGACTGTTATCTTTTGGACCTCTGCTTACTGCGGAACCTCCTCTTGCTGCTGTACTTGCTGAGGCTCCTATGCTTCCTATAGATCCTGAGTCCTCTCTTCTATCGTACTAGTCTCCTCTTGACTAGTAATTTGGTGGTTTATCACCTGTGCGACCTCCTTAACGGTGAGTTCCTGTGGTCCCGTTATAGTTGGTAGTGGGATAGGCTGATATTTCTTATAATCAGGGGTATATTTTCGTGTCTCGTCAATGACTGTATCCCTGATATACCTCACTTTCCCACTATATAGGAACCAGATCTTCCAGATATTCGAGGTAAGGTATCCCACCACGAAGCCAATCTCTGCACGTGGGTTTATCTTATCGGACTGTACTTGCTTCTCAATCCTGCAGTACGCTAAGCTTCTATATAACCTAATATTTGATAGGTTTATCCTCGGCGCCTATGGTGCGACTTCCTTCCTCACTTCCTCCTATGGTACCACCCACCGATTCTCGGCGGCGATATACGTTAGTGTACGATTTAATAACTATACGGCGGCGCTTGCGAACTCCGGCTATAGCTCCTTTGGGAGGTTCCCTTCGAGGGCGAGCATACGCATCCGGGTGATAATCATTCCACCTGATCTCTCAGTATACCTATTTATCTCTGAGTGCCCTGGGGGGGAGTGATATATCAGGATACCATCGCTTGTGAGACTATACTCCGCTGCTCTGCCAGCTGCTGCTTTATTGTCGTAGTGGAAGGCCTTGATTGGTAGCTTCCACTGATTTCTTGCAAGTTGTACAAACTGGTTGATGGCCAATTGATATTCAGGTTTCACTTCGTGAGTTATAATCCAGTGGAATCTCGGTCCTTCTAGGTAGAAGTGGGATATCCAGCGGTGCTTATTGTAGGCTGGCTGCAGCTGAATTAGGTCGAAATGCACCCTTCCAAAACGTCTAAAGGTACGTCCAACTTGTTGTCTTGAAATCTGCCTCGGAGCACTTCCTGTCTTATAGGTCTGATATAGAGATTCTTGCTCTGTGCTTGCTCCTCCTTTATCGTCAAGAACAACGCCGTCTACTATAGTAGCAAGCTTTGCTACGGTCCGCGGTTGAATGTGTGCTAGGCGTCGGTGCCAAATTTCAGAGGAAGCCCTTGATTCCTGTGGCTTCACTGATTTCCGTTGTGCTTGCTGCACAGTATATGCTTGTTGTAGCGGAGCCTCGCCTGGCTTGTTAAAGATCCAGAGATTGAATTGATCCTATAGGTTCACACAGACGATAGGTCTATTATTTGGGTCCCGTATACAGTTTGTATATTGGCACTAGAGGCCGCCTTTCTTCTTTAGCATCGCGTACGACACGAGACTCGTATAGAAACTTGGTGAGTATAGAGCGTCGCTTAAGGTGATCTCTATCCTTCCCTTTACCGGGTGTCTCCCTAAAAGTCTGACTTTGCCTCTCTCTAGCACCTACGTGGTACTATCTCCGGTTGTTAGGTCAATTATATCAGGTGTGAAGTCGACGAATAGGGCTCGGTTATTGCAGATATACGCACTTGATCCGGTATCAAGAATCCACCGGTCACGGAGGGAGGGCTCGCCTGCCTTTGCCACAGAGAGCACGTGCTTGCTAATCTGTATAGCTTTACTTGGCTTGCTTCGAAAAGTGGTTGCAAAGCTGACTTGGTTGGCGGATTCGGCTGGTTTTTCCTGTGCTTGCTGAGCTTGCTGAGCTTCAGCTATCACTTTATCCACCTATTGCTTCTAAGCGTGGTCCTTTCCTAACTTCTTCTTTGCTTTCTCTAGTTTCCCTTCGTTTAGGGTATACCCTTCTGGCCGAATCGCTTCGTTTAGGAGCCAGTAAGTAGCAACTTTATACTTCGGGTGTAAGCTACCACAAGGGCAGTGTCTCTTCTTAAACGGAAGCTTCTCTTGCTTTGTTTCCGGTTTCGCCTCTTAGTGACCTTGCTAGGTCGAGAAAGCGCCTTTTGGAGGAGTGGTTAATAACACCACCTGTGCTCCTATCTCGCGATTCATCGCGCGGAATGATTCAAGGAGATCTCGGGTATCGTACACCTTCTTTTCTATCACTATTTCCTGGTATTTGCCTTGCTACTATATAGGTAGAACTTCTTTCACGGCGTGCAGGAAGTCCCTATTGGTATCTCCGTCCTTGATACTAAGACTAACCGCTTGCTCCCTTAGCGAGTTCCACTTTTGAAGCCACTTATCGATATCTCCAGTCGGCTTCTGCATTGCAAACACTTTCCAACTCATTCGGATTTCCTCCTTATACGCGGTCGATCGAGCGAACCGAGACTTCAGATACACAAGTCTATTATACGGTGTACGATATGTGATCAGTGCGAGGTGGTGTACTGGGTCAAGATAGGTGAGGATATATTTATTTACATCACTCAGTCCCTTTACTTGCTTCTCCCATCGAGTATAGCTCATTTTATACACGTCTGCTTGGTCTCTCTATTTCCTTCGATCTGTTTCGGTGCCCTCTTCAGGATATTATGGTTGTACCGGTTCCTTTAGAGTATCAGGTCGTTCAGTTGACGGGGTATCCGGGTTGCAGTGATCCCAGACATTTTTTTGTATTGCGTATAGCTGCACCTTCGCAAACCAGGTGAGCCATTGCGGTGCATCCTTCAGTTTATCGCCCTTCATGGCGGAGAGAATCGATGCTGTTTCCATTGCTGGATGCTGTGTTGTTTTGATGTGAAACAAGGGATGACTTTCTGCGGAGTGGCTTCGTGGAGGTTTATAAGACAGTTTCTAGCAAGTTGCTAGGTACTATATGCCGATATAGTAGTCTTATTCAGTGCGAACCGGGCTCATAACTGTCGACTACTCCGTATGGTGGAAATGTATGGGTCCAATCAATGGTATTCCACTCTCCGTATTGCTGTATTGACTTCCTGGCAATTTATACTGTCCTGATTACATAAGAAATATTACTGCATACTTAGGATTAATAAATCCTCCGGTATCCTGGTGTATCTGCGCCGACACTAGGATAAGGCCTAGAAACGGGGGTAAGACGAAGGGTAATTTTAAAAACCTAAAAGGGTTCAAATTCTGAATTCTCGGCATATTGGTACTGTTTGGGCCCCATTTTGGGGGCCCATCAACCCGCAGTGAGCTTCTCCTCGGGCCCATAGCCCAGCCCATTTGCGGGTTGGGCTGGGCTAGGCTATGGGCTTTATGGGCTTTGCGGAGCTCTAGCATAGCCCCTTGAAAACCCCATAGTGTGATCGGGGATGACCAGATCCCTTAGACATAATAGAACTGGGTGAACATTCTTTCGGTACGGGTTTGGGGTTGCTTATGATGGTAGTACAATCCGAGGGATAGACAGCTATTTGTGTAATTGGGCTTGCACCCACTCGTCCTGCTCGAGTTCCATAGCAGAGCTTCGTTTTTCCGGCTCCCATTGTAGCATTTTTCGTACTAGGCAGAGAAATTTCTCTTTTTCCTCTCCCTCAAGACTGGTCTCTCTTTGCTCAAGGGGGATGTGCTCTCCCACTAATTCTGCGGCGCACAAGTCACCTAGAAGAACAGAAACAGTCAACAATTGGCACTTTCTATAGATATGCAAAGGATAGATGAATAAAATACCTTCCTCGGAAAAGAAATTTTGCGTCAGGTTTCCACGGGCAAGGAGGCCTGGCGGTGGTGGGCCGAGTAGGCGTATCATTTCGGCAAGATGAGCCCGACTCCTATAAGTCTGATACTCTGGGTCCTGGCCACTAAACAGCGATCCCCCTTCGAAGAGGTTCCAAATCTGACAACGTAAGCCCAGAAGCATTTGCATCGGAACGATTGATTTCTTACCACGCAGCCCACATTCCATATGTCGACGCTATATGACCATGGAGCTTGCAAGATCACTTCCGGTGCTCGATATATATCCGGCTGGATGTCTTCCGAGTGCTCCTCATCGCCCATCACAGCTGAACCAAAATCGCAGAGGATAGGCGCGCCTAGTGTTTTGGGCATTCTGAGCTTGCGGGAGGTATAGATCGTCCTTCCATCTAGCTCCTTCCTAGGACAGGGATTCTGGAGCTCATTATTTTCGAAATCACTGAAAACGGAATCATCAGAAATGCCGAACATGATGTTATCTGCTTTAATATCTGATATATTAATAAGCAAATGATCGAACTCGAAATCGGGAAGAGAGAGTCGCACCGGTATGGATAATCTTGCATTCTGTATGCAGATAGTCCAATGCAAGAAATAGACGATGAAGTGTTACTGCCAATATTGGTGTAGGTAGCCTCTGTACCGGGTTGCGGAATAGAAAATTCAACACACTCTCCCACAATGGAGGATGCACGAGGCATTGATGTTTGTCTTCTGGTCCATTGACGTCAAAGGAGTCTAGCAAAGATCTGACATACTTGCGACCTGGATGTTTCCTTGGAGCCGCTTCAATACGTTTGTATATCTTCAGCTCGTTATCGAGTTGCTGCCCCATCGATGTGGGCTTTATGAAAATCTTGAGAGTGACATAGCGACGATAGCTGTTTTTTAGTTAAAAAGATGTTTGTGAGAAGAAAGCGAAAATGGGAGGCACTAATGGGGTGGTGTCTTCTTACTCCATATCGCGTGCAAGCCACACTGTTGAGCTGGCTCCAAATCCTAGTTTCCCCACAACTTGGTACCGGTCCTTGAGTATTTCCCCTATTCGAGTAGGATAATACCTACCCGCAACATAGCCCGGAAGGGTCTCCTCCTCGATTGTCTGGCCCGTTGATATCCGAATGAAATTCGGATTGGTAAAGCTGAGAGGTGTCCATCTTCGTCCGAGCCGAGGCAGGGACTGGAGAACAGATGTCAACATTTCTGAAATAAAGACGGCGCCAAATTTACGTTCAAAATACGGCTTGGCGGATGTGCATATCAAGATTTATGGGTGACGGAAGATGGCCAGCTACGCAGGTGTATAGCGGCCAGGGGTCGGATGCGGTTTTGTATAGTATTGGTGCCTAAATATACCTGATTTCCTACCGCCTTTTCACACCGCTCTATACAGTGTATTGTAAACGAAACTCCTACATTGAAGCTATTTCCACTATACAAATCTCCGAAATCACCCATTTCTGGGTGTTGAAGCCCCCCAACCGAGCACAATTCCTCATCTAACGATGGTGAAGCTATTTATACTTATACAAAGCCTCAAATTTAACATTCTCTGGCGTTGAAGCCGTCTGATCGTCCAAATAACTAATTTCTCAACAATTTGAACCAATTATATCGCCAATCTTATCGACCTACAGAAATAAGGGATCCTAGGATTTGTATGAATACGAATAGCGTCGCACCTGTTGCCTATCTTTAAGGCGTTCATCTTGACCTTGGAAGCATAGATCCATAGATGGATTCAAGTATTGCTTATTAAGGAATGTGTTATAATAATTCAGATATTTATATTTTTTTGCCAGCTTTAATCCAGGCATCCTAAGAAAATTTCAGGCACCAATACTACAAAAGACCGCATCCGACCCCTGGCCGCTATACACCTGCGTAGCCAGCTCCTTGATTTCAAACGGAGATCGACGGGTCAGGTGATCATCTTCCACCTTCGAATGCGAGATGTAGCCACCAACAAACGCTAGCTCGGCGCTTATGGATTAATCCTCGTAGTTGAGTGTACAAGACGAAAAGCTAGAGAGAGATAGTCCATGTACATATATTAGAAGACTAAAAAGTGCTTATTAACAAAACGAAACCTCAATTCCAACTCCTTTCCATCTATATACCATCGCAAAAAATGTACTGAATTATTAAGTCAAGACACGAATAGTCGTGATTGATCTAAGGCCGATTGAGCTGTTCACGGCGATAAAAGAGAAGGAAACCAAAGCTGCAATCAGAGTTAGTATGAAATCATAAGATGAGAAGGGGGGTGGTAACTGACCTGGCCAGAAGCTGAAAGAAGAGGGCAATCCAGAACCACGCGTTGCCAACCGTGTCCAATGACGATCCAACATTTGGGGAGATGCTTGCTGGGCCGACCTTGTTTGGCGCAAATCCACGAGCACAAATTGTGGCGATAGATCCAAGAGCCTGTGCGGCCAACAGAACGAAACAGACATGAACTCTTGTCAAGGTCTGCAAGAGAATCATTCCCAAGCCGACTTGCTGAATCTCGTCTAGAACGCCCAGCCAGAGCCAGAGACACCGGGATGCGATAGCCCCGGAAGTCAAACCTCCAGCCCATGGAAGATAGTGACTGATATTGGATGTTCCCCACCATGTTTGGGCCCATCGTGGTGCACCGATACTCAAACCGAAGACAGGTAAAATCCAACTATGCTCCTTGGACAAGAAGCGGAAGAGTATCATCACAGCGACCCAGAGAATGACAAAGAAGAAGAGAACCAGGAGGACAATTTCCCATGCTTTAGCGTGTTGAGAGGACCAGAGGAATGACCAGTTTCGACCGAATGCAGCAGAAAGGAACCAGTTCTGGATGATGACCATGAAGAAGAACCAGAGGACGATTCGCCGACGGAAGAGAGCTGTGTAGAAGAAGAGGATCTTTCCGGGTGCTTGGCGGTAGTACTTGGGCAAGCCAAGGGCAAGAAGAACACCAATAAGGAAACAAAGGGCAGCAATGGGGAAAACCACGGCTGAGAGTTGCCAGGAACCCAAGGCAACTGTGGAAACACCTCCAACTTCCGCTGCAGTGACTTTAGAACTCCAGTACCACAGGGCAACAGTGTAAAGCTGTGAGATACCCTGGATAAGACTTGCGCGGAACATCCAATCCTTCACAGGGACGGCACCTTGGTCACCAAAGTTGAGGGCAAAGAACAGCGAACCACTGGAAGAAGCTGCGGCATAGATACCTGCGGCGACATTTTGAGCCCACACTTTACCCAGTTCCGAGAGTGCGAATGGAGAAACACCAATGGTGACGAATGCCATGCAATAGATGAACCAAGGGAGAGTGAGGACTATCACAGACGGGAAGCGGTAGAAGAGGAACCACCAGACAATGGAAGAGACGCAGTAGATCGCCGCGATAACGTAGAGTTTGACTGCCGTCTCACCGATCTGGCCAGCCAACAGGGTGATCTGTGCAGAGTTCGTCGCGATGATCTGTCCAAGACCCAAGAATAGAGCATAAACAGGCCAGTTTCCGACACGCCATCTCATAAAGCGCTGGATGGCCATCGGTCTCTTGTATCCCAGACGAGCGAGCCATAGATCAATTTCGTCTGTATTGTTAGATTCCGACTCTTGGGAACCTTCCGTAACGAGGCTATACGGTTGGGCCTCGACAGGCTTGTCCGAGCCAGCTCCGGTCAGGGGACGTTCTTTGGGCTGCTTCTTCAACTGCGCATCGTTGTACATGTAGAAGAACTTCCGCTCACTCTTCATAAGATAAAGCTCAATACAGTAATCTGAAATTGAGTTTTTCTTGTTGAGGTTCGTGAGCAACTTTTCGAAGTGCCGTGTGAAGTTGCCCATGCTGTCGGTAAATGTCGGGTCGACTTTTTGCAGATGGAAATTGGGGTGATCATGATCATTAACAACAGAAGGCAAGGAGAGGACAGAAATATTCTGTGCCTGAGCGGCGAAAGGTGTAGCTGCATCAGAAAGTGCATGAGATAGTCTGACTGGAGAGGAATCCCTGGAGAGGAAACGCGATGACTCGGAGGCTGACGAGCTAGACTCGCCACGAGAGTGATTGCTGTTTCTAGGGTGTGTACCTAGGTCCTGAGATCCGAGGGGTAAATTTACTGCTGCCATAGCCTCTTCTTGAGTTATATAAGCCTCCTGTGGTGCGGCAGTAGCCTCGTCATCCGCATCAGTAGTATCACCGTCGACGGCCGGCTCGAGCATCTGACTCTCACGTCGCGGCTTCTTGGATAGACGCTTTCTGCCCTGTCCTGGTCCAACGCGTCGACCGAGCGACAGATTGCGACCTAACATGCTGCCCCTGCTGTTTTCGACTTGCATTTCTTGAGCTTCAACTGCTTGTAGCTGTAGAAGCGAAGGCTGAACGGGCTGCGATACTCTGCCTGGTGGTGGGGAATCCAAAGCCTGCGACACTGACTGGAACGATGAAGGGCGGGTCATCATTGTATCTCGCAGGCCTGGTGTCTCCCAGTAGATCTGAGAATCTCTTGGCGAGCCTGTAACGGTAAGTTGGTTCTTTTGGTGGTGGATTTGGATAGCTGTCCGTTGTAGGATTTCGAGCTTCTGAACCCACTCCAGAACGGGGAATCGCTGTTTAGCAGAGTTTGCACGCATCTCTTCCCGGGTCTCTTGTGATGAATCCAAAGCAGATTTGATGGCTGTTCTCAACTGGTGCAAGAGATGACGGGCTGAGTCGGATTCCACAGTGTACCACCAACCAGGCATTTGGCCTAGACCGCCAATACGAGAGCCAATTCCAAGTGCACCCTTACGACCGAACTCAACAGCAATCAATCCGAAGGGCTCGTCTCGAGATGGGATCAGGGCGAAGTCGGCACCAGAGAACACGAAGGGGGGAAGAATCGTAAACTGTGGCTTCGAGAAGACACGGCCTGGGAACATTTGCATGATACGCTCCAGCTTGATAGCAGCCAGTCTACCGTAGAGATCAATGATGGGACCAATACAGATCAGCTGAACATTAGGTCTAGCAGACAAGACAGCCGGCATAACATCCGCAATCAAGTCGACTCCCTTCTGTTTCGACCATCTTCCCACGAACACCAGCAAATCAGCGTTGGGGTCCTCGTTCAACCCAGCCCATTTCTGGGCCTGGACTTTGTCAATGGATAGCTCATCGGCAGACTGGACCGTAACTTGTACGTCGGGGTCTTTCTTTAAGGCGGCTGTGTCGGATGGATCTGGATTGGGAAGACTACCAATCTTACCCAGACTCCAAAAGATTGGATAACGGGCAAATGAGCGCTTTCCATACTTCTCGGAGACGCCTACTGCACCGAAACCGCGCTGGTGGAATCGCAAGTAGCTAGCGCCAGTGTGAAGCAAGTTGAAAACACTGCCAAACTGACAGTATTTTGTCGCTACGTCAACTGGGAGATTGAAGACAGAACAGACTTCCTTCTTCTCTTTTGCGGTTCTCAAAGCCCAAAGTCCTTGAAACTCGGCGTTGTGCAGAGATAGACAGACCGGGATAGTTCGCGATGGGAGCAAATAAAGCGGTGCCACGCAGCCGTGGAAGTCGTTGATATGATAGAGATCAATTGAGGGTGTTCGCTTCATTACCTCGGCGATACACTGATTCCAGGCCGAGTAGTAAATTGCGCTGTCAAGGTCATCCATACGAGGAGGATAAGGCTCCGCCTTGGTTTGGTGTCTAAAAACCGGAGCATCAAGGAGGACATAGGTAATGTTGTCCACGGCGTGATACTGCACCTTCACTGAGTAGGGATTATCGAGGATTGTCACCACAAAGTCTTCAGCAGGCGTATCCACAGGATATTCAATGTCGCCGACACATGGCACCACCCAAATCAAATTTTGATGCTTCAAGTTTTGTGACATAAGCTGCGCCATGACTCCTAGGCCACCAATCTTGACCTTGACTTGCCAGTCTTGAATATCGTACTCCATGGTGGCAATCAATACTGTACGTCGTTGGTCGCTCGCTCCAGCAAGAGCCATGTCTAGTGGCCCTCCCTTTTCTGCCATCATGATCTCGTCGTTATCGTTTTTGGTGAATAATCCTTTCATTCTCCCCCAAAGCAGTACTGGGAACTTATCGGCTTTGGTAACATTACCATTCTTGTTGAGTTTGACACGGTAGAAGTTTTTGATGAAGATAAAGGCACCAGTACAGCCCATAAGAAGCGGGATAACCCAGAGAAGGATAAAGAGCACCAACTGGGCCCATCCGGATCCGATGGGGATCATCTCGTATTGTAGGTTGCCATCGTTGAGGGAGATGGTCCAGCCAAGATGCGGGAATGGCGGCGGACTGGTGATATTGATGACGTTTGATGCGAGATAGGACGGAGGAAGCTTTTGAACTGCAGACGAGTTGCCGACATCACCGTAGACCTCGGTGTTATCAGGATTGCCATCACTATCCGTACCCCAGACATTCAGCTGGCCCACAGCTGGCCATTCGTAGACAAAGTCGTAGGTCCAACGCGAAGTTTTGGAATCGTACTTCATCTTGCTGTCCATTCCTGCATCATAGCCAAATTGGTTGTATGGACCGTTGAACCACATGTGTGGGAATCTTCGGACTGTAGTACTATCATGATCACCTTCCTGGATATAATCGCTACTTCCAGTGAGCTTTGAGAAGTACTGCACTCGGATATGGGTTCCATCCCACTTCTGGGCGTCCGTTCCAGTCCAAGACTGAAGGGTGATAGATGTGTTGCCACCTTCATACTTCGTCCAGTTGTTCCAGCTCCGACCGAAATCAGACGAGTATCGGAACATGTCTGCACCGGCAGCCCTGTGCTGGAGGTAAATATTGTCGTTGGACTTGTGGACTAGGCTAGTGGAGTAATTGGCGAGCGGGGAAATCAGGGGGTTGTCCTGAGCACCGAGACGGAGCAAGAACTTGTCGGTCGAATTGGTGTAAACTCCGTTGGAAGAAACATTTTTGATGGTCAATTGGTGGACTCCATGGTGGACATTCTTCAGGTTTGCAGACCATGTCCAAACAGTCGGGACTTCTCCAACGAGCTCCTTGCTTGTGGTCCTGGCAGGGATTTTGGTGCAGTTCACACTTGATATATCAAGCTCGGCGTTGATATTTTTCTCTGTTGTGGAATTTAGGGAAATTGCGTCTGTGATGCTGTCACAGTCCATCTCTGCGGAATACCCAAGCTGAACGGGCATGGTTTCACCCGTGTCTTCTGAAGATAGCAGCCGAGCGTCATGTCCGGGGAAGAAATCAGTGACAGTAGGGCCAGGCTTGACGAACTGGCTAGTCTTGACATATGCCCGGTATTCCCATGGAAGCAACTCCATCTCACGGACGCACCCGTAGGAGTTGACATTGCCGTCGGACTTTGCGTAGCCCTCTTCCACAGTGAGTTCATCATAAGGATAGAAGAGGTTCCTCACTTTTGTCCCTGACTCAAATGGAGACAACAAGGACCCGTTCTTCTTGCTGCAGTCGCCGCCATATGTTTTGGTTGAGTTTCCGTTTTGATACACAAGCCATAGAATGTCATCGGCTTCGATTGCATCTGCTTGTACCCCAGGGAAATAGCCTCGCAAGACAGACCAAAGACCAGTGACCGTGGGGGTGTCAGTAGAACCAGGAAGGAAGATATCTTCTGTGAGTTCAGCGAGCGTTTCGAGGAACAAGCCATCCTGGGCGACTGGGAAATGGGCTCGAATCTCGAACATGCGCTTCATGATGTTGCGGAGTGGATGAGCGGGATTCCGCTGGTCATACGTGACAGTGATATCATTGCAACCGTCGCGTCCCTTCTCAATAGGGAAATCATAGAACTTTTCGGTTTCCAAGTTGAAGCAGCCTTGTGTCCACCACGCGGTCTGGTATGTCATGGGCTGACGGCCGAACATATAGTTCGCTGCAGTGGCGTCGAACACATACATATCCTGCTCTTCTCCCCATAAGATGAGGGGAATTCCAGGAAGCTCTAGCGAGATAATGTATAAGCCCAGGAGGTACTTATCTGTGCCATTCTGGAGAGCTGGCCAACGGAAATTGTCCTGGTTCGAAACACCATACATATGCCTAGGATCCAGTTCTCCAGTGAATGCGTTGAGGAAATCGTTGGTCACGAGCATCTCATTCCAGGCTTCGATGAAGTCGGTAGGCAAGTCAAATCCGGCAACCAGGTTACCGTCCATGCCTAGAAAACGGGTCATCGAACGGTAGATGGTATAGTGGAATGCGGAGGAATCCAAAGCTTGCAGCCCGTCCTCTCTTAGGAAAGTCGAGTCCGAGTTATTCGTAAGCCTGGCGCCTTCTGCTGTATTATCCGGACGCTGATCAGGCTGGCGGCCGCGGCCGAGGTAGAGACTACCCATACGGTCTCCGGAGGTGATCTCGCCGGGAAGGAAGAAATTTTTCTTGTCGTATTTCAATGCACATTCACGGTAAACGGCGAGCATCTCACTCAGGGGTTCGAGGGTCGACTGTACAGACTTATCAAATCGGAAACCGTCGATATCCAGGCTCGCAATTTGAAGGCAGGAGTGTCGAACGATCACATCACGGACCGGCTTGTGCCATTCGCGCAGGCGATCCTGCACGGAGGCAAACTTCGTAAGTTGACGCTGCCAGTCGGGGAAGTTACCGAATGCCTCTAGTTCTCCATATTGATCAAAATCGCTGTTGTAGCAACCCTTCAATTTTTCGACTCCCTCGGTTGTTATTGGGAATCCAGTCTCATCCCAGAACTTAGGATAGTTGCAAGTTTCGTTATAATCGTTGCCAAATTTGAAATCGGCGTATTGTCTGTCAGTAACCCATTGGACTTCATATTCTGCTGGTTCGAAATCGGCGGAATCGTTCAAATGGCCTTTGAATCCGATCAGGTTGCTCATTCTGTGTTTTGAAGATCAGTTCATGAACATCCGAAGTTTTTAAGGATATGCTTACGTTGCCAGTGTGTTATCCACCAACACATACATGTTGCGTTTGTGAATCTCATCGATAGTGTGCCTCCAGTCCTCCAGTGTTCCATAATGCATGTCGAGAAGTGTGGTATCGGTCGGCGAGTACCCGTCGTAGGCCCAGGGCAAGTTCATCAAGTATGTTCCGGCGAAATAGATAACCTATCGGGGTTAGCATTGGAATAATTACGAGGCTGGGTCAACTAACCTTGAATCCCATTCCCTCGATATAGTCCAGCGTATCTAGCAAGCCCTCCAAATCACCGCCATGGCGCATCTGGTTCGAGTTGACCACATGCTCGAATTCTGTCCCGTTAATATCGTCATTCGTGGGGTCGCCATTGGCTATACGGTCCAAAAAGATTGTATATGTAGGGAGACGCCAGTTATCTGGTGATGGATGATAGTCATGGTTTGGCCATTCTCCCCAATAATCGATCGGGCTTTCGGCGGATTTATTTTCGTTTAGATTGTATTTAGCGAGTGATTCGTCGTAGGGCCAGCAAAAGGCAGAGACGCTCAAAAACGACAGTATGAGGAAAGCTGAGCGCTGCATTTCCGTATATAATACTGTTATCAGCAGGAACCTGCTGCCGGAAAAATGCGCGACTCAAAAAACGAATGAATTTTCGACAAATAGCGAGAGTGAGATGAGTGAAAGAACAAAAAAATATTAAATGAAACAAAGCTTCTAGCATTTTCCCCTACTGATTTCAAAGATTTTACAGAATACTTTTTTTTTACTATGGAGAACAAACCCTTATCGGGCCGAACGGATGGATGGGCTATACATAGTCCCGTATATATACTACAGACCCACTCAGTGAGATTTTATCGATCCACTAAGTCTTCGCCGCTTGGTGGCTGGTTCTTCCAAGGTTGGATATATGTCTCAGATAGATCCAACCTTGGAAAAGGATTTCAGACATTTGTAATGATTAGCAAGGCAGCCGTGGGTTGTCGTTAGCCCTCAACCCGACTACGTTTATTTGGGTTGGTTTGGGATATTCCAGTAGAAGAATCATGGGTTTATCAAGTAAGGCAGTGCTTATCGATACAGGTGCATCACAATCAGTACACATGCATGGCTGGCACATACGGTGGATGGCAGAAACCGTTTTTAATAGGATTATTTCAAATGTGTTCAGGTCAAAGCACTTTTCAGTCTCTTCTTTTCTTTATTCTTCTGCATCATGCAATAGAACTGATAATCCCGGAGATGAATCTTTATAATTAATTCAAACGTTGTAGTGGACCGAAAAGGAAACTCGTACATTGTACTCCGTACACCATGAAGCAGTCAAAAGACATGGGACATTGAGATATCAAAGGTTGTAATTTTTACAACGAAAGATCATCTACACAGTATATATGATTTTTACAGCCCGAATCTGCCTTACTGAGTAGGGGGACAAAATATCTAAAACAAAGATATCTACTCCGTACAAAGAATATGGGAGAAGACCATCAAAGACACCATTAAAATGACATCCGCGCAATTATTCTTGTTGGGGCATTACTTGAAGAGACTTTCTTTACTATTTTGAATCTCTTTAAAAAAGTTATATAAAATAATTCCAACTATCCTACAGCATTGCAGTTTTTTTCCTAATATTTTTATTTAGTAAAAGTTGGTGTATCAATTTAAGCCATCTTGGTAGTGGATTCTTTTTTCTTTCGGTTCCGCCTTCGACGTCACATCTTTAGTTTCAGACCTCTCAATGTGAATCAGTGTGAAAATAATACCCTCTATTGTAAGATCTATTGTAAGAACTCGAAATGCCCCATTGAAATATTCGCCCCCTCTTGGATTCGCTATCCTCCGAACCTGTTTCGCCGATTTATTCCCTCCTCGTATCGTAGATAAGACCCGTGGACCGAGCGAATACAGTGGACACTCTACGTATGTACCCAACAATCTAGTTCAATCATCTAATTGCAATCCCGGTGGTAATGCCTATCCGGGTGATTTTTTTCTTAATAAACCAATAATGGCTGGCCCCAGGGATCCAACAGAATTTACTTGTATTCGGTGAACATATCTTTTTTCTGCCGTGCTCAGGCACTCCCGGTAAGTACCTACCCGTCCACCGGTATGTAGACACACATGTATGTAAGCATCGTTATCATGCCCAGGTGATCCCTAGGTTCCTCGGGGACATGCGGGGCACAGACGACGTGTCAAATGCATGGCCTCAACGTCCTAGTCGTATTTCTGAGGGGATTCGTACAGTGTGGCTGAAGCTTGTTTTTCGTGTTAGTCTACATGGTGATATCAAGCGAGTGTACCGTTTTACCCTACATCCTTGATAATACATGACCCCGATACATGATGTACCGACAAGGGTAGCTTAAATTTACGTCTCACTAAATATAGGCGAAGTCAATAAATCATATGTGCACTGATTGGATCATGCGACCCATATTGTTGTCTTGTTTTGAGTGCCCCATGGCAAGTGGATCAAAGTGCGTTTCACTCAAATCAGAACAATCTCGGTTGATACTCTCATACGCTAGGACATATGTGCTTTAGCTTGATACCAGATATCGTCATATACTCCGTATTGTAAGCAAATGTCTTAATTTTATGCCAAAGTGGAGTCCCTATAAACACTTCGATCTCATTGCATTAAGAATTGACGTATAAGCAGACTCGGGTACCGAAATTCTCTGCACTCTCCGGGTCACCGGCTATTTTAAATCAACAGCTCCACTAGTGGACAGCAACATGTCTTACCACGGCACGCCACCTTCGTATTTGGTGCCTGATATCTCAGGTATTAACGCCTTCAGGGTCCTGACAACAAACTTAATTTTCCCATCTCCGTTCTGCATTTGAATCTTTTAAAGGCCATTCAATGGCTAGTTATTTTTTATTTATTTGCAAATAGAGTTAACATCAATTCATTCGGTGAGAAACGGGCCCTTGCTTTCAGACCCAAAGTGATAGTGACTAAATGTATACCCGATGTTTATCACGCAACAAAATCGGGAAATACAAACGGTCATGCCATCATCGCACTCATAAAAGTGACAGCAATGCTGACAGACTCAGCTCAATTGAGCTTGCCTGGTACGCTATCATCCAATTCAGAGCACTCTTTGGGGGGCATAATAGAAAGCAAGCTCCAGTTTCACTGAGATATAGTATTATGAATATTATGAAATGGGCATTAAGATCTGACTTCGGAACAAGTACTTTTCTTAATAAGCGGTCCATATTGTGCTTCAGTCGCACCATTATTGCGGGCGACGCCACGGAAACTTCGCGTGCGGCTCCGGAGGGATAATGAGATCATAGCTACTTTGCACCGACACGCTAATAACCAACTCGTGTATACCAGGTGTTTTTCTTACTGATTAGAGTGGATGCTTGCCGCGTATATACATATACGCATCACTGAACATCTATATATAGCTCAGCCGAAAGCGAGATTCTTAGCTTGATTCTCAACCCCATCGCCCATTGAGCACACGACAGCCACCCAATTACTTGAGGTGATTTACTTCATGATCTCTCCCACACATAGCCTGATACATACGACCATAGGGCGTGGAAAATAGAGCTTCCCGTCTGCTCGGCCGTACGGATAGCCGCATTCTGGGTATCGTGAAGGCTGACCTCGGCCTGCATCTGCCGAACGACCTGTTCTAGAAAGAGGTGTGGTGGTCAAATATCAGGCCTGGTTGCAGATCGTCAAAAATGCTCAGTATAATTTCGTTCAGTTATCCAAATTATTCACGGTTTTTTTCATAGGGGATCGATCACTACAGCCAAACACTGGAGCCGATTTCCGCCTTATTATGCCTTTTACCCCAGACATCAATTTATTCTGCCGGACTTCCTTTTGACTGACAAAAAAATAGAAGAGATCTTACCCGGGTTCAAACCGGGGTTGGTGGAATATTTCTAATAAGATATCAAAATCCACAGTCATGACCGCTAGACATAAGACCGATTGATCACCAGGTGACGACACAGGAAGTAGTATGGATATATATACACATCGATTGATTTTATTCCACGACAGTAGAGAAAGAGAGAAAGGAACTAGTAGTTATCTATACATCCGCGGCCCGAACGCTGCTGGGGCAGCATAAAATATATTCCACATTATTATTTCCCAAAAAATAGATCATACCTCTGTTTTACAAGTATACTAGCGATACATTAGAATTGATAGTGAATTCTAAAGAATCCCTGAATCCGCCCACTCCATTTTTCTCCAGACATGACCTAAAGCCAAGGATACGCTATACATACTCTATACCTTCGAAAATATTCGCTGGTCGATTTATCTGTGCTACAGTGACGTTTCCAGAGCATGACAAGTGATGTAGTTGACTAGTAACTACCATCTCCATGGTCTGTATCTGCGATAGCCATACACTGGACACAGGATCAATTGGGCTAGCCTTATGAGAATATACTAGTAAGTTGGTAAGGCGCAAAGACTTTGATAGGCATCGCTACCGTGAAGCATTGTTGAGAACTCCACTTTTGCCATCTTCGCTTCATCGAAGACATAACCCAGCGAAGAGAATGGCTGCCACGAGGGTGGAGATATGTTTAGGCTAAGTCTTTCCCAAGGTCTTGGCAAGGTATTGGGCAACTGAACTTGAAGGTCGGAGGATTTTAAGGTTTATAGAATCTCTTGAAGATTTAAACGTAGCTATTCGTTGGGATCTTGTGGTCGGACATTACAAGGAAGCTTAACACATATGGATTCAATCCCATCTATGCTAGGAGGCACGAACAAGACAGATCCTGAGGGACCTCGAATAATATGGTCATCGTGAAACCCTGGTGAGATCTTGATGAAATCGATAGTGTTAGAAAATAGGATTTCGTATACTCCTGCATTTAGCGTGGATGATCGGTTAGATACTCGATAGAGAAGCAACCTGCAAAACTAGTATCAATAATGATTATCTGCTCAAGAAGGAAGAAATAAGGAATAGGTTAAAAAGGTTTTACACCACAGACAAACATTTTCGGCTTTATATAGTATACCTACATCTCCTACTCCTTTCTTCGCGATTCGGAAGCCTTCGACCATGTATCAGGTAATGTTTCCTTACAATATTACCCTATTGATTGTTCTACTCACTCTATATCATTCTATATCAAACAAATAGTGTCCAAATTCGCACATTCCTATTAAGCAGTGCTTTTAAAGTCTATCTTTTAGATGATCTTAGCATAATAATATGCCTGCTGTAGTTGATAGCCCATGCCATGTACCATGCAGATATTTCTCCATTGCCCATCATTAACGACCCACGGGACATTAAACCAGCGATATAGAAATCCATATCTATCCTCATAGACTAGGGAAAACCCATATTTTGCATGGGGGATCCATCCGAAGAAACTTGCAGTTTGACTTTACAGTTCTACTGCACTAATCTCCGTGTGGCCCCTCGTGTAGAATATATTCAACTCAACCAACATCAATGAAAAAAGTCTATAAAGCTAGTATTAAGAGGAGACCCTTATCGCCCATATAAATTAGATTTCTGATCCTTTTTATCGACGAAGTTGGACAAACTATATATATTCTACAAGAGGGCCGTACAGTCATTTTAGGCGCATGTAGGCGTAAGATATAGGGGCGAGTACGGGAACATAGGCGTAGAATTTTCGCCTAAGTGTAAAAACTAATAACTCCATAGAGATCCCAGCTATATAGCCTAAGGTTTCACGAGATCTATTTTGTATAATTAGAAGCAAGGAGACAAGGTTTGAAGAGGATTCAAGCAGGCAATTGAAAGTGAGGTGGCTAATCAAAAGATCATTTGATGTTACAATTGTAGTGTCTCCCGCCTACACAACCAATAGACACCCAGAATGAATTATTTTTGGATGTTAAAAAATCAAGGAAAAAAAGAAATGAGAGGTCTTACCCGGGTTCGAACCGGGGATGGTGGAAGATTTCCAATTAGGTTATCAAAATCCACAGTCATAACCGCTAGACCATAAGACCGGATAATGGTATGTCGCCTATTTTAGAGTATTATTACAGAACACAATATATTCCACATTCATCATCTGTTGTGGTCCACGGGTACTATAGATGCCCTGTTTAATTTAAGGGAATGAATAAATGAGAGATAATAGCAAGAGAAGGGCTATGGGTACACTTTGACTAGCTCCTTTAGGCCTACACAGTCTTCCCTAACAGTAATTCCCAACCCGCCCGTGTAAATTAGTATTATGGAATGTATCCCCATACTATTCCGAACACGTATCACACGACTTTTCACATTACAATGACAATCCACCCTTTCGTCTTATATATTGACGCTATACAAATAAACTGGTGCAATGGCAAAGCTTTGAATGAGAAATGGGATACTCCACTGGGGGTCTAATGGAAATGATGCTGAAAGTTTGAAGAAGATACCGTATTTCCTCCGCCCAGGAGTTCCCGGAACCTTCTAACTATTTGCATTCTATTTTCCTCTTCAATCCATGATCTAGTACATACGACCATAGGGTGTGGAAAACAGGGCTTCCCGTCCGCTCAGCCGTACTTAAGCCACACGCCGGTGAGTTAGTAGTTGGGTGGGTGACCACCAGCGAATCCTCACTGTTGTATGTTTTTGTTTTTATTCAAGCCCAATTAATATCAAATCGCAGAGCTCAGCAATTCTTTTTTGTTAAGTACCATGTGTTGGAGAGCCTTAGGGTGCCATATTAGTCATCCAGCATCACCACCATGTTTGTGTAGTCTCCAGGCTTCACCCGATCACCTATCTGTCTGCATGTTCATCTATGATAGCACGTACCACAGCCTCTCAGGAGAATCTGTCAACATTCACTAGCTCCACCGAACTGGAATCTTGGCGAGATAGCGGCTCTTGACTAGAGGATGCCTTGATATTCCCCCCAATTGAGAGATTTTTGGAGCGCGTCGGACGCTGCAGCCCCTGACTTCTATCATAGGTTTCTGATTTGACCTGATACGAGTTATGAATGCCAAAACAGGTATAGAGGAGGCGATTAAACAATCGGCGAATTGCCGGCATACTGACACAGAACACTGCTGTGTAGCTTTCGATGAGTGACCAGTATGCAACTGGTACATAATCATCTGTGGTCATACATCAGCAAGTTTGATCATCTTAATCTCCAGCCTTGAAGGATATCTCATACAGGTTGCATTGGTTGTATGGGCAAATGTCACCACTGACTTGAGGCGAATGATGCTTACAATGGTGATGCTGAAATTGACCAAATTTTGTCAGTAGTCTATTCGCATAGCTAGTCAAGTTGACTCACAAGAATCCCGTGCAAAACATAAGCATGACTAAAGCCTTCTTCATTGGTCTAAGGTTCAGCTTCATGATCTCGTGGAGAGGCAAGGCCATGACGGTCACATCGAGAACGATATTGATCACTGCGCACGCAATCCCAAAGGCATTGAAATCGAGACAACTACCCTTTGTTTCACCTGTCCAGGAGGTCCAGATGTAAGACGCAGGTAAACAGTTGAAACAAATTCCGAAGAAAAAGGCGAAGAAATAAGCGACCACTATTCCCATCACGATATATATCGCATTTCGAAGGCCGAAATTTGGGAAAATATGGAGATAGAGATTGAGGAAGGCCATCTTGATAGAGGTAATTGCGCCAAGGTAGAGCATCTCGACGATCCAATTGTACTAGAGAAAATTGTGAGTTCTTGTAAGAGTGTTAGATGCTACGTAGACGGACCTTCAGGATAAGGGTAATATTTGAGAAAGATATTGTCCAGATATCTCGTCCGTAACCGGTATCAACCACTTGATTCGAAAAATTAATACCAGGGAGTAATGTACATCGACAACTGCGGAATACTCACTGAAAAATTCTAGTATACCCATCCCAACACTGAAAAGCTACGAGAGTCAACAGAAGCCATCATGATTGCTTGCGGATAAGTTCTTACTAGTCCAAATATCACAGAGATGTCTTCTAGACCAAAATGTTTACGAAACTCCAGACTTCGAATAAAGGTTGCAACAATTGCTAACCCCCCAAACACCGAATTTGTGATGGTGATGACATTGGCCTTGTTGCGGATTGGACTATGGCACATAGTACTCGTAGCGTTTGCCGTTGCTTAGTTAATAGATCAGCAAAGCTGATCATGTTTTCCCGGTCTTGAAATGAGCGGTATCCTACTTAGACTATCCTTGACGGTGCAGGTCATTTGCACACAAGCTGTCAAATTGGCTTGCAGCGAGGCATCTGCGCAGATACAAGTGGTATTGGTCAAAGTGCAAGGGGAATCTTTGATTCCAATGGCCATGCACTCTATCTAAAGTAGAACATTAGCACAATTCAAAGCCAGGGACTAGAATTAATCTCACTGCGCAGGATGGCATATCTGATGCATTAGCTATTGCTGCCAAAAGCAGCGCGATGAGCATAATAGTCCCCTTTCTGTGGCATCGCATGTTCATTGTCGCTAGATAGAAGCAGTCATCGCCACAGGGAAGAGAAGAGGAATCTGTCCACTATCCGTGCGGGCAACACCCCAAGGACCCAAGGACCCAAGGGTGACGCCAGGATCACGTAAATCAATTTAAACTGGCGATCAGGTCTTTTGGTCTTTTGGCCCCATTTTAGCCTGACCGGGGTATGGCCGTCCTTCTAATACTGTTGTCCCAGGCATTCTGTGCGCCTTGGATGAACCTTCAAGCTATGTACTAGACCAAAATTCTCATACATATCGATGATACGATTTGGAATCCACACGATTGTTCTTTGTCAAGTTTTAGGCGCATGAAGTGTGCTATTTTTGCCGTTTATTTCCATGAATTCTCGCAAGGTTCGCTACTCAAGACACTAGCCCGCCACTAAGTAGGAGCCGACTCAGCCTAGCGTCCCTAGCCTCTCAAGAAAAGCGAACTGGTTAAATTAATGCAAAAGAACCATGTAAGCCCAGCA